CTCGATAACTCTAAATGGTTGATTAGTATCATTTGGTTCTGGGTCGTCTCAAATGTCATATGATACCCCGTTATTGACATCCCTTGTTGTTTCTCGTTCTGCTTGTAAGAACAAGGTGGGTGTGAAGTGGTGGCCATTTGGTCAATGGCATGGCAGTGACCAGCCACGCCAATTATTTTAGCAAGTCAAATTATCCTGATCAGCGAACCCTGATATTGCTTGTCTTTTTCATCATCCTACAATCCTATTGGTTCAAAATCACATAGATTTGTAACAATCACGTCTTCCATCCGAAAAGTAACGCTGTGCGAGTTTTTTTGACTTCGAATTTGGTGATTTCATTAAAATATCGTGGAATGTCGTGATGAACTGAGAAAATTTTCGCTTGAGATGAGTGAAACTTCTTAGTTTTTCTCTTCTGTTCAACGTATTCAGCAAAACCTCAATGCAGCGCCGTCTCTGCAATCTTCGACTACGCCATCGACTTGCCATCGCCTCTAATCTTCTACTCTCTTCGCCAAGACCGCCAACGAGTGTTTCCTTTGTTTGGCAGGCCTTATCAAGACCATCACATAGTAGCACTTGACGTGTCAAGCTTCAATTCAATTTCAAGAGTCGAAGACTAATATTGCTTTTAGCACGAGCTTTAACATTGGGTAGCTTGTTGGTGTGGTCACGGATTAGGTGTGTTCAGCACATTCGAAACATCATTCCCTGGATTAAAGGATATAACGCTACGGAATTTCCCCCTTTGTTACCGGATAACATAACTTCTGAAGTGGTACCGTTTGATTTACACTCGTTGCTACTGAACTTGTTTAGCCCGCATTATTGCATAAAATTGCCAACCGGAAGCACAGTTTCTTCCTTCTTTTAGGGGTCCAATAGACTTAACAATATGCGCTGAGAAGTTCAGCTATTGTGGCTCAAGCAACAAGCCGTACTGTAATGGGGTTACACGTGCCTTGGTAAGAAAGGGCGGGTCGCACAAGATTGTGCAACCGTACACCTATGGTGTGGCTACACCGTAACAAGAAGCCACCACGTGGCAGGATTGCCAGTTCTAATGCATATTACTACATGAATTAGGATTAATGTTAGGCGCGCTAGCACGCAATTGTGTGGACCCACGCGCAAATGCCTTGCGGGCCACAGAATAAACTAAACCTAAGTTTAAGGCTACCAACCCATCCTAAGGTATGTGGATCATTCTAACTTAGTCTTTGCGCGAGCCAAAGTAATTACACACATTAATACCCAGACATATACAGTCGTCACCATAGAGGCTCAGCACGCACTAAGCATCCTTAGTGGGAATGGAACTCACAACTTTGCGTCGAGCATAATGATGCCAAACCACTTGAGCCAGTCACTATAACTTATGAGTTGGTGCAATCATTGAAATAAGCAGCATAACTAACACTCCCCTATGCTTCGAATGCCAATGTCAATTTTGAACGCGTCGAGTTTAGCTCTCGACACTGCTTTCGTAAGAGCGTCCGCAGGCATGTCAGAGGTCGGCTTGTAGATTATCCATCACACGTTTACGAATCGCATGATACTTAATATTGATATGCATGGTGCGTGGGAAATCGGATCGCATGCGAGGGTGCGGGCACCTTGTTTGTCCTGAAAAACCACAGACGCATCTTTTGGCGCTTTCCTATCTCTCTCTGGAGCAACCACACCACTTCTTGAGCCGCAGACTGTAGCGCAACATACTCGGCCTCGGTAGAAGAAGTAGCGACGGTCTTTTGCCTCTTGGGTTTCCAAGTCACGGCACCACCGTGTAGCAACATGACAAAGCCGATTACGGATCGGCGAGTATCAAGGTACGATGCCCAGCTGGCATCCGCGTAACCGATGAGTGCGCTTGCTCGCCGCCATAACGAAGCGCTGCGTCTTGCGTTGAGACGACGGTGTGCGGCAAATGAAAGCTTTAGTTATTTTACCTGTTATTTTTTATGGTTTGATTATTTTAGAAACATTGCCAACCAGTGTGACTTGTTCGACGTCTCGCAAAACTTGGTCACCTCCCCCAGCGCGTGCGCAACGTCTGGACGCGTTCATATTGCAGTGTATAGCAGAGAACCCACCAGATCTCGATATGGCTGGAGGGGTCGGTCGTTGCGGTGAGGGGTGAATTTGGGTCGGCTGGGATCGCGGATGCCTTACGTCGGCCAACTATAAACGTTCGGCAATCTTTCGAATATAACCGCATTGTTTAGCTCCAATGTGCGTCAGGCACGGTCGCGTCGCACTTCTATACCCAAACTATAGCGTAACTCACCAATTTCCTTGATGTCAAACTGTTCCTTGAGTCCGTCGCGCACCAACGTAATGTTGTCCAGTTACGGGACAATAACAGTCGAATCGTCCACATAAGCAACCACCGCGCAAAATTTACCACGCGATGCAGTCTTGAGGAAAACGCATGGATCAGCCTTGAGGAATCGAGCCCTTGCTTGTAAAAAATGACTGCGTAATATCTCGCACCATGCCCGCGGCCTGTTTGGTTCCGTATAACGCGTGTTGCAACAAACATACCAAACATGGTTCCGAAACGTCTTCACAGCTATCTGGCTGACGCATGTATACTTCTTCGTCTATGCGACCGTAGAGAAACGCGGTGTCCACATCAACTGCTGTATTTCGCAATCTAGCTGCGCCGCCACTGCAAACATGCATCGGATCGTGTCCATGCGTGCGACAGGTGCAAAGGTCTTGTGATAGTTCACACCCGGCCGTTGCGTGAAAACTTGGGCAACCAGCCGAGCCTTGTAGCGATTAACTGTCCCGTCCGCGTTACGTTTTACGTTAAACAACCAGCGGTATCCGGTAGGTTTCTTGCCAGCCGGTAGCTGCACTAGCCGCCATGTTCTGTGGCTTCGCAGGAAATTCATTTCTGCTTCCATCGCTTGCTGCCACTGACTGCAATTCGGTGAGCGTAGAATCTCTTTGTAAGTTTTGACGTTATCGTCAGCTGTTTCGGCGACCAGTCAAAAATAGCGTGGATATGCTGAATGCTGGATATATTTTCCAACCACGACCACGTGCTGACGACAGCTGCGTTGGGACCGGTAAAACTGACAATGGTGGCGTCCATGGCACGATTGTACTGTTGTGTGAAACTTGTATTATAGCATCTAATATGCCGTGTGGCTCAGTTAAAGGACGTATATATTTATTATTATAGACAAGAGATTTATCAATTTGCTTGTCTAAATTAATGTGCTTCTGTACTGTACAGCTTTGTTTGTTATAAATAGATTTTTGTGATTTCTTTAGTTTTTTGTATTTTGCCTTTGGACAATATTTTGGCCGACATTTTTGGCTAAATAGCGGTCTCGTAGGGTTTCGGGCTCACATTTTGCCCCCGTTTTGACTTCAACTCTCGCTGAAAATTGCCTTTTGAACCCTTCACGCGTGACACCATATCTCGACGGCTACTTCAATTCAATGTTTGAAATTTGGAGCACATCTGCAACACAGGCAGCGCCCATTGCAGGCCAATCAATTACAAAAGCCGGCGCCTGCTGTGATGGAAACATACAAGAACATTTAAAGATAAAAACGCTGACGGTGGGCATACAGCAATTTTGGATACCTGTGGGTAGGGAGATTTTGACAAACCCTGGACCAGTGTGTTTGTGGTATTCTGGATATCTCTTATGTTTACTGTGTGTTCGACTCACCCTCGAGAAGCCAGTGGCATTTATTTCTCGTTGTAGTATGGGAGGCCGGTTTTTCTGACCCTTAGACCAAAACGGTGGTCCACCCAGCACGATCTGACCGTCGCGAAACGACGCGGCAGTGTGCTGGAAGACCGGGCCAGCATTAAGGCGCTTTAAGGCGCTTTAAGGCTTTCCAACTCCGGATTTAGGCGCGTTTCTTGAGTCATGGCTGACCTACCTAGCGCACAGGACGAAGTGCCCTGGTAACTTGCAGCAATGTGTGCTACCACCCGAAAAGGTGACTGGCATGATGCTCGACAGGCAATATCCGCATCGAGTAAATTAATGTCGTAATATATCCACGTTTTATTCATAAACATGTTTGTGCCTAGAAATTTTTCGTCTTTTTCTTCGCATAAAGGTCTTGTTGGCGAACAAGATATCCGTGGTTAGCAGGCAATATTGAGTGCATATCGACGCTGGGTTTAATGCCTCGTAATCGCCGAAGTAAGTTTTGCCCCTCATGGCAGAAATACCTTTCTCAAAGCGCATTTCGTCGACAATGTCATAGCACTGTCTCAAGTTACATCGGAAGTGCGCGCATGCAACCGAAAAGACCATTAAGAGTGCTGGCGTCGTTGGTGTGGGCTGACTCGCATCGAATTGGCACCGATTGCGATCCGACCAGACGAAGTGAAGAGTCACAGCGCGAAACGTGTGCCAGATATCTCCGATCACGTCTTCACACTCCTCCCACTCGTCCGAACTACTGGTTTCTTCGCTATTGCTATCATGGTCCACATTAACTGTATTCGATTGAAGGGCGGCATAATGTTCTCGAAGTGCTTCCACATCCGTGAAGCGAGCGCACACTCGAAGAACAAGTGTCGTTCCGTCTCAACAGCATAACATCCGTTGTGAACGCAATAAGTGATGCGTGGGTTCGACTGTAGCAAAAACCGGAACCGTGAGCTGACAGGGTGAAGCTGAAACGCCAAACGGAGCTGCAAGTCGTCAAAAATGGGGTGAAGAATCTGGCGAAGGTGTTTACCGTACCGGGTAAACGTCTTTACTTCGTCTCCGCCGACGCTGTGCGATTGCAGAGACATCGGATGAGAGTTGTCCTGTGCTTTCGGCTTCCAGACCACTCGAAGAAGCACTTTCGTAGGAATCGATCGTACCAGTCACACCTTTGAGCCGCTTGTGCAGCCCAAGTGAGGGAACATTCGTTGCTGTGATCATTTTTTTTCTGTAGGCGCGAGCTCACGGATCCACGTCTAATCGTAATCTGAGTCTCATCTCGATGAAGAGAGCGCAAATATTGGTATTGCGTACTCGGTACCACGGACGGAAGGGTTACGTCGAAGTGTCTCTGGATAAAGTCTGACTTGCTCGGCCACAAGTTATTATTGCTCATGAAGTCTACCAAAGAGCGCAAACCGAAAACCCTCGAAATGTGTAATCAGAATCCACGTTGGGGCCAGGACACATCTCGAGGCAGCGTCGGTGAGCGTTGATGATGAGAGTCCGTGGTGTTTGTTCATAGTGGAGCTCTGGGTCTACGTGAAACCAGATGGGTTGTTTAGACCGTACCAGACACGCTGGTTCGTCGGAAGGTCGTGCCATGTAATGTACCACCGGGTTTGTACCACCATACTCATGTCGCTTTCCACCAGGTGGATATCAATACCCACTTGATCATCGAAGTGAGGACACAATTTGAAAGTCGAGCGCCATTCCCCGACCGACTTGAGGCAGAACTGCTGTCAAAAAACAACACCTGGTGTTGACCAGCTTCGTTCGGCTGGCTTGCTTGCTGAGCACACGAACTGGAGCAACAACTGGAGTCTCTGTCTTTTCAGTTGTGTTTCAATGCTTAGGATACCTAGTCCCCCTTCAACCGTCGGAGGTAACAGAAACTTCTTCGGAATGAGCTGGATTTGAGCTGCCCCCCCCCGTTTGTATTCTCGACTCAAGACAACCCTATTTAGCATTGACTGCCACCCTTCACGGCCGAGGATGGAATCGACACGTGCTAACTGAAGTGCCACAGGCGAGACAAAATCATGTCTGCGCCTCCATTAGCTGACCACAAAGAGACTTTGCTTGTTGTACCACATCTTGAAGCCGTCGTAGAGGCGTTGCTCAAGAAATTTGACAATGTCATTGTTGACTGGGGACTGACTGAAGGGAATACCAAGAAACTTGGCCGCCTCGGCTCGATCAAGCACGTGCACACTAGGAAGCTGAGGACATGTCTCGTTTTGATTCAGCACCATCACATTCGACTTGGCAAGATTACGTTTGGCACCAGACACCATACAGTACTCTTCCGCGAGCTTAAGCTGGGCTTGTATACTCGCGATGGAGTCTGCAAGGAGGGTCGTGTCGTCGGAGAAGAAGACACCGGTGGACGTGTGATCATCGTTGAGGCACACTCCATACTCTTCATGTGATCGCAAAAGGTCCCCAAGAGGCTCAATGGTGAGCAGGAAGAGAAGCGCAGAAAGCGAGTCTCCTTTTTTCACCCATCTTTTCGGATGCAATGCTGGCTGGATGTTTTGGTTGATGACAAGGTGGACTTGTGAATCAATGTGCAGCAGTTTTACCCATTGTGCAAATTTTGAACTACAACCCATTCGTTCATGCCCTTGGAGCATATCATTCTAGTTCACTCGATCGAAAGCCTTTTCAAAATCCAGAAATAGGAAACCCAATTCCTGGATTTTAAGCTTCTTCGTCTCGACTTGTCACTAATTCCTGCAGGTCCGCGAGAGACCGCACATGGTGAAGAATCGAGAGGATTCAAACGAATCCCTCTTGATTAGGGTAGGGATAATTTGCTGGAGTCGGTACAACAGTAAATTTTACAGTATCTTGACATCTAACGGGATTAGTGCGATCGGTCGGTAGTTGCCCAGTTGATGCCCCTTCTTATAGAGAAGCAATACCGGCTTGCCCTCATGACCGCCTCTTTGTAATTCCTCATGGTTTCATCATAGATCTCGCGATCACCTTCGTTTGACAACACACGGTACCGCGCAGCAGCTTGATCCAGCGAGACACGGGCATTATCGACGGCTTGTGTATCTTGCATCCGAAGCTTCTTTTTCAAATCTTGCAATTGGCGCTTAATTTTTCTTCCACTTTTCCCGATTCTTCCCGGGTTTTGAGCGGTGCGCAGTTGATCGCGGACCATCTCTGCTTCTTTCTCCATCGCGGATACCACCAAGAAGGCAGCGTGGAAATATCCAGTACCCTTTACCGTGCAACTGTGATACAGACTTGAGACGTACATTGTGAGCTAGGTCGTCACCGGCATGCTTTGGCAGTATATATTTTTGAGTCGCCGTAGAATCGTTCGATGAGCGCCTCTGACAGCAAGATATAGTTCAAACGGTTCTTCCTTGGAAGTAGGCCCGTGAAGACCCGCTTAGTATCGTAATGGATCTGCCACGCATCGACTACACCCAGTTTCGCTAGCCACCCCAAGCAGCTTGAGCGACCGGGGTCATAGCGCAAGTCAGGAGACAACGAATCTAGTGTAGGGTTCAAGGGAGTGTTGAGATCACCCAACACCAGGTGTATCGACTGTTCTTCAAACTCCTAAGTCTCCAGTCTCGAAAAGAAATGTTGTTTTTCCTGCATGTCTATCGGTGCATACACGTTGTGAATGTAGATGGGAGTACTTTCTGCACCCACTTTCACAACGATGTATCGACCAAAAACGAACAACTTGAAAACGTCTTCCACCGTGACGTAGCCGGCACGAAGCGGTGTGAGAGCTCCTTTGCTTCTCTCTCGCATTGGTCGATCAAAAAAGCTGTCGGAATTGTTTGCAAAGGCTTTGTGCGTGAAGGTTGAGTCAAGATGAACCTTGAAACTGGACAGATGTGTTCTGTCACTGAACTTTGTCTCTTGGATGCAAGCTACCGAGTGTTTTGAAAGCAAGTTGTCGATGAACAGCTGACCATTTATTTTAATGCCATTAGTGTTGACGGTCAGAACACTGATGTTGCTCCAGGTGGTGCTGACTATGGTCATCATGGTAGTTGTTTCGAGCCCCGTACGATGATCATTTAGATCTGGGACCACATCGATGACATGCAGCACAGCTGTTGCTACGCACGGTTGCGTGTCTTCAATATTTTTTTAACTGGTAATCCCGGCTGTCTTCTCAAACTTTATCGACCTAGAATGATAATCTTTCTTGTTGCCGGATTCAGCAGCCGGTATCCCTTCTGTTTGCGAAGATATCTCAGAAAAAATATCTCACTAGTTTGTCTTCAAGCTTGCTGCGCTTCGACTTGGGCACGTGCGCGTATACTACGCATCCAAAAATTTGCATCCACTCGTACTGAGGTCGTCGCTTGAACAGCTGTTCAAAGTGGGACTTGATCTGGTCAGCTGATGGGATAGTATTGCGATTATCTGCAGCTGTCACCACAGCTCTTATCCAGTATTGTTTTCTAAGCTACTCTCCTTTAGCATGCAGCGCGCCATCTCGACCAAAGTGCGGTTGAGGCGCTTACTCATTCCATTTTGCTCCGAGATTTACGGAACGTGAACTGCTATACTCCACTTCTCTCACAGTACGTTTGCAAATCTTTGCTTGAATACTCGCCGCTGTTGTCACTTCCAAAATTTTCTCACATGTGTCTGATGATGCCTCGATGTAGGGTCCGAAAGCTAATGAAGTGCTGTAGGACTTCGGACTTGGCACGCATCGGATAAACCTTCGCGAAACGCGCCGACATCACAGTGAATGTGACGAAGTAGCGAGAGTCTGACACATACGATGGGGTAATCTACCCGGCGACGTCCGAGCATACGACTCCAGCACACCGCTTTATTGCTCCTTATATGCTCTTCCCCTCGTGTTGTGGCGCGTGTCTGCTTTGCCAATGCGCAGCCCTGCAGGCCTTGGATCCCAGTGCTCCCTAGCGAATGAGCTCGTTGACTGCGTGGCACGACGCGTTACCAAGTCGGCGATGCCGAAACTCGCCGCTAACGGCCAGATGGCACTCTGATGCATCTTCAATATCAAGCGTGATCAGCTTACCACGTTTGGTACCCATAGCCACTAACGTACCACTTTGCTTTATTGTACAGCCGGAACCGGCCATTTCGATCGTCATCCCCTTTGCTATTGCTGATGACGCCGAAAACAAGTTACATGTGAGCTCTGGTACATGCAACTTGTTCTTAAGTCGGGTGGCAAACACGCGCTTACCTACACGCATATTGAGCGCAACAATACCGTTTTCGGCAACGACCATCTTGATCCCGGCTTTGGCGACCGTTCTATACATTGGCACACTAAGATGTTTATGGTCGACAAACATATCGCGTACTTCGCACATATTGCTGGATGCTCCGCTGTCCAAAACCCAGTCATGAAACTTTAAAGCGTATACCAGAATAGCTGATTGCCATACTGGCACAGTGGTGTATGGTTCCTGTGTCGACGCAAGTTGCTTGAGTTCGAGTACCATCGGAGCTGCACTCGTTAGCCAGCGCACAGAACGCAATGTAAGACTCGTCCTTTTGTTCAAAGCCTTTTCGGCAATCGCGCTGGTAGTGTCCGAGACACTCGCATTTCCATCACGTGCCTTTTTTATTACTTAGATTTATCTTGGCGAGGCCGGCCAGCATCGCGGTGCGCTCCTCCTTGATGCCCAGCTCGTGTTAACGTGTTTCCTCCGCGAACACTCGATTAACGATGTCAGAAAAAGGGAACTAGTTCGCCGACATACGGTACGCCTTCACGAGACCGTCGTACGAACTTGGCAGGCTGTGCAGCAATGTTGCACATAAATTTTCTTGGGCGAAAGCGCACCCCGCGCTGCCCAGGAACATCACCAGCGCCTCGGATCACTGATGTGCACCTCCATCGAGCCACCATCATAAACAAACGTGGCGAGTTTCCCTCTTTGCCACATGCAATTCGCCACACGTTCGCCTTCGTGAATGCGCCGTAGCACCATCCACACATCAGATGCTTGACGTTGCTGATTACGTGCTGAATCTGGTTCTTGGCCAGGTTGAGCACAGTTACCCCATACGCTTGCTGCTGCTTGGCGTCGCCCACGGCATGCACGCTACCATCGACGCAACCCCATAGTAGGATACATCTGCATCTTGCATGACCATAGACGATAGTTGGTGCCGTCAAAACAGACAGGCTTAGCGTAGTCTTCACTGTTTGGGCTTATAACCCGAAGGATATAGGTAGAAGTGATGTGCGCTTGTGTGTGCAAATGCAGAAGTGAGTGTGTTGATGTTAGGCGTGCTAGCACGAAGTTGTGTTGGCCCACATGCAACTGCCTTGTGAGCCACACAATATAGAAAACGTGAGTATCAAGCTACCAACCCATCCGAAGGTATGTGGAGCACTCTAACTCAGTATTTGCGCGAACCTAAAATTAGCACACTTTGATACGCAGACATATGCAGTCGTAACCATAAAGGTTGCGCACTAATCATCCTATGTGGGAATTGAACTCACAACTTTGTGTCTAATATAATGATGCCAAACCACTTGAGCCAGTCACCATAACTTATGAGATACTGCAAGCTTTAAAATTAGCATCATAACTAGCAACACCGTCACTGTTCGCTTAGCGACGGGGATTATTGTCTATGGGGACCTCGGTGTCAAGCTCCTTGATTTAGATAGAGTGGAATGCTGTCTAGTCTCAGACTTGGATGCAAATCTTATCCTTGGTACGACATGGTTGGAAGACCATGAGCCATGGATTGATTCATGAGCCATGGATTGATCGGAGGTCGAAGACCGTGCGCGCTACGCGCACGTCTCCTGGTGGAGTTTTGATGAGTCATGAAACCACCTCTGCCAGAAAGCAGAAGCGTTATCGGCGCGGGCACTGGACCGGGAAGGTCAATGTGTAGCATATCGGAGTATCCGAGTTGTCAATCACCGAAGGTGTACTGAGCAAGAGTCCCGAGCGTGCCTCTCGGGCTGAACCTGGAGTGGCACGTAACCCACTGAGAACTACTCACGTTACGAAGCAGTTGCTGCGTGCCAATAATGGCAAGGTCGGACAATTGCCGAGGCATCAAGGGCGAGCCCTTGGGATGGTTGTGGGTGGCACGTAATTCATTGAGCATTGCCCACGATTCGAAGCAGTTGCTGCATGCCAAGAGTGGCATGGTCGGACAATTTTCGATGCATCAAGGGCGAGATCCTAGGGATGCGTGTGGAGTGGCACGTAATCTACTGAGCACTGCCCACGATTCGAAGCAGTTGCTGAATGCCAAAAGTGGCAAGGTCGGACGAGGTCAAAGGCATCCAGGGCAAGGCCCTTCTGATATGCGTGGAGTGGCACGTTATCACTGAACGAAGACTGCAAAAATAGCAGCTCTTCGTCGGACGTTGTTAAAAACATCAAGGATTCGATGGAGCGGGGAGTGAGGACACTAAACAACATCGATTCGTGTTTTCACTTGTCTCGTGAGACGTTAAACCTCTCAAGAGAGGAGACAGCAAAGCCGTATGATATCTGCATGTCGCAGGGCATTGATTCTGACACATTGTGTGTCTACCGTAGACCATAGCGCACAGCTATATACCCTTTTTAACGGAATGGCGGGACAGAAAGACGGCAACGTCACCATCGAGGCTATTTTTGCCTTGAGCTGAACGAGATGTCCTTCGAAACGTTTGGCGTGCCTTAAAGGCAGGAAATTTAGCCGAGGTGGTCATTGCAAGACCAAACGAGGAGATTGACTCGACATCGCTTTTAGATAAAGCTCTCACCGAGGACACAAAGTGGGTGCTGAACGCACGAAGTGGATCGTCGATTCAAAAGGATGCTACAGATCCGTATATTACTTTGGTAAAGGGATTTCAAGGCTGCGTCCACAAAGACCCGCCGTCGGTCCTTCCTTGTGCGTCCTACCTTCTGCGTCACGAGTATGACCTGGTTCCGGGAATCAAATTCTGCGTAACTCGCCAATAACCCCTGCCCAAAGCAGTGTGACGTCATGGACACCTTTTTCCGTGCGAAGCACGAGCCAGAAATGGTGCGTGAGAGCACGTCTCCTTATTCGACACCCACGTTTGGTGTCCGGAAGCCGAACGGCAAGCGGCGTATCGTTCTCGTTTTAAATAAACAAACCGCTCCCACCATTCCGACACAAACGCCGATTCCTAGAAAGGATGTTCTCCGGAGCAATATGGTTGGCAGTACAAAATACAGCGCACTCGACTTAGTCGATGCTTTATTTATTGCTCATGAGGGCGATTGAGTTGTTGTACCAATGACGGCGCGAGCTTTGGCTGTCGGCTTTCTTATGCGATGACGTGTGCGTCGGAACAGTGCATACAATTGCTTCATAGGATATAATGACCGTATTTGTATTGTTGTTTGTAGAAGTATGCAGTGTTGACTGATTCAGTATCATATAGCATCCTTTTGGTGGAGGAGTGCTGACAGCGTTGAGTTCTTCAAGCGGGATGCTCTGGGAGTTGTCGGGGATCCCCCAAGGGCTATCAAGTACACCAGCATCATTTAATCGACTTGTTCAAGCCCCATCGGGCGTATGCGCAGACATACTCCGACGACATCTTCGCCCACAGTGGTGCGGGGAAAGGGACGACAGCTGTGGAAAACCATATCGTCCATTTGGGAGCTGTGCTCAGGTGCACGCAATGCCGATATATGCATATTCGGCGAGGAAGAAATCCCCCTTCTTAAGGCGCTCCATTGGGAAGCGTGGTCTTCGAGCGATACCCGCGAAGATCAAGGCCATTGTGGACTAGCCGGTTCCAAAGAACCAAAAGGATATGCGCAAGTAGCTTGGCCTCGCCAACAACTTTCACAAGTACAGCGCAAGTTATGCAGAAAAGGCACGACCATTGTCTGATCTCTTTATGAAGGATAAGGAATGGTGTTGGCTAGCATCAGGAGGCTTTTGATAGGATCAAAGACAGCCTCCTTCTTGCACTAATACTGGCGTTGCCAGACTCCGATCGTCCTTTTTCTGTCGTCTGTGACGCTTCGGACTTTTGCCATCGGCGGTTCACTGCTGCAAGCAGATGCCGAGGGGCGAGATCGGCTGATCGCGCTCGAATCTCGCCGGCTTAAGGCAGTGGAGAGAAATTACCCAGTCCACGAAAGTTTATTACTTGCGATGAAGTATGTATTTGTCAAGTTCAAGGTGCACCTGCTTGGCTCAATACCGTTTGTGATCTACACAGAGCATGCGTCCTTACGCAATGCGACTCAGCCGCTTCACCTCTCGCGAAAGATGGCCATGTGGCTCAATTTTTTGCAGAATATAACTTCAAGGCGAAGTATAAGCCGGGAAAGCAGAATGCGTTGGCTGATGCGCTGTCACGCAAACCAGGTTATGAGCTCGCTCATGTCATGACGGTGACGTCGTCAGTGACAAATTTGATCTGTGCAGCATACGCGGGTGACAGTATGTGTGTAGCGCTACTACAGGCTCTCGAGAGCATGGTGTTTGAGAACTCGGACTAGAAATTGTCGGCGTGTTTCTCGCACGGTTTCACCGATTTTCGTTGAGTAATGGGTTGCTGTATTATAGCACCGATATAACAAATACACCACGGGATTTTAGATCATCACGATGAGGATTGAAATTATATGAGGCCCACGACACCCTACTGAGTGGTCATCTCGGTCGTGCGAAGACGTACAGCTCGGTGAGTCGCCACTATTGATGGCCCAAGCTGTATAAGTGGACAAGCACATTTGTGTGCACGTGTGAGACGTCAGAGGGTGAAACCCTTTTCGAATGCGTTGGCGCCACCGGGCAAATTACCGGTTATCTCCTGGTGTTGGCAGTCCCTGAGTATGGACTTTGTGTGTGGCCTGCCGAAGGACTCGGCAGGCAACACACAAAGTCCAGACTTCGTAGACTGTTTGATCAAGATGGTTCATCTAGCGGCAGTGCCGGACACCATCGATGGTGTGGGTACAGCGACGCCTTTGTCGATCGTGTCTTTCGACAACATGGACTCCTGGAGTCAATTGTCGTTGATAGAGATCCGCGCGTCACTGGGAAAGTTTGGACTACACACTTCAGTGTGCGGGGCACCAAGTCGACCATGTCGACACCGCCATCCCATGGCTCAGGGCTTGGCGGTGAAGGAATAGCCGAACGGCTAGCTGATGCAGCCCCCTCATCGTGTGTAGAGTAGTCAGAGACTTACTGTCTACTAGATCGAGTGTCTCGCGACACGTTCACGATGCGATGGCTGAATGTCAAGATATGCAGAAGGAATATGCAGATAGTAAAGGAAGAAATATGTTGAAAACGTTAAGGTCGGAGACCTGGTTTTATCAAACGCTAAAACCTTCCTACACATGCAGTTTCTGCTGTCTTTAAGACGAAGCTCCGTCCACGGTTTACTAGACCTTTCGTGACCTAGCGTCTACGCCGAACCTTCTGAGAAGGATGTGCACCCACCCGATGTTTTATGGAGGCTTGCTTAAGCCGTATTAGGATCCGGCGCAAGTGGATGCAGAAGCGTTGTCGCCGAGGCGGCGCTCGGCCACCCAGAATTTGAACCAGCAACTGGTTGTGAGCACGGAGTGCAACAATTTCAGTTTTTAACGGCGCATGGTGTTCCACCGTCACACGAAGCTACGTGTTTGCCTGCTCGACAGTTAGAAGCTACTCCGACAGTGCACGATAATCCCCAACGCGAGGCACTCGGTGCATAAAGTGCTCCAAGCTCTCGGGGGCTTCCGCACAGCGGTGGGCGACATCGGAGAGATGCTCGGCAGAGTGCCGATGACGATGGACTTTGTACTCCAACGCTCGAAGAGCATCGCGAGTCACCGGACGACGATCGACCAAGTCGTCATCTTCTGCCGCCAACACTTTCGATGAGAATGGTGGCGTCCGCTAGTGGGTCAACGTCGTCGACGAAGTTTAATCCAGTATCATGTATAGTTGCGGGGGTACCTAGACTCCGAGAACTCGAGGGAGTTTGAGGTACCACTTCGGCAAGACAGCTCTGAGGTTGTAGATGCGTATGATCAGAAGAATCATGACGCTTTGCGTCGTCTTGCACCGTGCTTCTCACAATAGCCTTGGAAGCCGGAAGGCCATGATCTGAGCTCAAGCTTTGACCCTGAGCTGCAGCGGTCATAGACGCACCCGTGTGAGAAACCATAGAGCTCGCAGGAGCGTTACAGATTATTCCATATGTCGCAGGGCAACAATACGCTGGAAGTCGGCGTTGCACCTTGAGTTTGTCAAACTCAGATCTAAAATGGCGCTCAACGAGCACGTCAACTTTCTTGTGGCTTTGCTGTTAGGTAGACAGCAAAGAAAGTTTCCCGTGCCGCTGCATCCATCGCTCTAAGAGCCCATCGTGATCTGCAGCGGTTTCGCCAGGGGCGAGCCGGTATCATTGGGATCTCTTGGGTTCCCTAAAAGCAATCCGTTGATCGAGCTCAGCTTGTGTACTGGCCGGAGGCCCGACTACGTAGACGCCTAACGATCGAGTGATCGCGTCTTTTGCTTCAGTGGCTGAATCCGCAGAGAGACAGACGTATTCCTCACGAGGGTCTAAAATTGAACATGGATACGAGCGCAGAAGAGCTGCTATGTGAGCAGCCTCCAGTTGCTGCTCCTGTTCCTCGTCGAAAGTGATCAGTAATAATACCAATTTCCCCGGAAGCCGAGAGGTCGGGGGACGGACATGGTGTCCGCACAAAATTGAGCTGGGCTCACGTCGCTCCGTTGGCACACTTCATCGCCCTCGTCATCCCATACTGATTAAGGAATTTTCGACTCAAAGTCGATTGCCGCCGAATCCTTGACGAGGAAATCCGTCACCCGCGGGCGGGTGCGTTGTGTTGCGCCCAGTTGCCGAGGGCTTGGGGTCCCGTGAAGCCGCGGCCGTACTGCCCGGAGATGCAACTTGTGCAGATGAAGAAGAATTTTGCCTGCGGACGTCCTCGCTACCAGGTTAGGTGTTTTGCGTTTCGTAGACGCATTGCTTATAAAGCAGAGAAGTTTTAAAACTATTCTTATGAACGTGAAAGTGTATCAGACACGCGAGCCTCGTATGGGGCGACTATAAAATGCGATTTGAGTATATTCTTAATTTTAATGGGGGAAAGTGTAACGGGGTTACACTTACCATTTAGAATGTGCGGGATGCACAAGATGTGCGACCTTACATAGGTGTGTATCACACAGTTAGTGTAATAACACAGCGGGATGGCTACACCGTAACAAGAAGCCACCATGTGACAGGATTGCCAGTAGTAATTCATACAGCTATGTAAATTAGGTTTTGCTATACTAATTAGAAATTACTTTACTAATTAGGAAAACCTAAGATTTTAAATATTGGCGGCTCTGCCGCATATAAAACAATTAAATTTAGTTTTGTCTTGAACAAAAGTGTTTGTTTGCCGTGGTAAGGCTTTAGTACTTGAAAGTAGCGGCTTGCGATCTGCTACACTTGTTCTTGTTCTTCGAAAGAACGGAAGACCGGCGACCTTAGCTTAGCTTCCCCTAAGCAAAGAGCTACGGCAGCCCCGCTGCGCGAGCTGCTGAGTGCCAGTCCTCGAATCCTTGTCCTCGACAACAAAGTCAGATGAATGCGCCGAATGCACGACTAAATAAAGTAGCTCCTACGGACGCTGCGGCTCCGGCTGCGCAGAATACTCAAGCGTTAGATCCAAGTACAATGTCAATGTTGCTGTTGCTAGTATTTATTACGCAACAACAGCAAGCTGCTCAAGCCCAGATGCAAGCCCAGATGCAAGCCCAGTTACAAGAGCAAATGTCACAAGCTAACGAAGATTCGAAGATCTAGTAGTGGCTCGGGGCGTAAATCAAATTTATTTTTACTGTTTATTCGACTCCAGTTGGTCTTTTTGAAAAAATCGTCATCCCTTTGGGACGTAGTGGTAGTCCGGGGACCTTTCATAGGCTGTTACAAAAGGTTTCAGGGATTAACGTGACGTCATCCAAATATATTTTGACGATATTTACGTATACATCAAGACTGAAGATGTAAACGAGCATTTGCCGCGCTGGACAAAGTATTGAAGCGATATGAAGCACAGAAACTTCATATTAAACTGTCCAAATACAAATTTTGCGCGAGTTAGATTTCATGTCTAGGCGACTTCGATGGACGCAAGAGCGTTCGTTTGGGCCCAGATAAGGTGCAGATTATCACCGAGTGGTCAGTACCAAAGACTAAGAGACAAACAGAATGCTTTCACTGGACATCTGTTTACGTTTCGAAATTTTGCAAAGATCTTACTCAATTCGAAGGTCCGTTGCATGAATGTATCACGAGAAAACACTTCCGAGATGCTATCAAGCTTGATGTGAGCCAACTACGCTGTCTTGATAAGTGAAAGAAACGATTTCATCACCACTAGTTTTCTGTTCCCTGACGTCACCGAGGCCTTCGGTATTCAAATAGACGCCTCAAATTTTACAATTAGGGGAATCTCATTTCAAAAGGAAGAAAAGTTGGAACATCCAATTGCCTTTACTGGTCGGAAGATGAAACCTGGGAGTTGAACTACCCAGAACTACTCGCAACCACGCATGCGCTGAATACACTGAGTGTGTATCTCCTGGACAAGTTACTTCTCGTTGATCGTCAAATCGTTAGTATACAGGAGACAGCAAATCGTCGCGTTACGCGATGGTTCAATGATTACACGGAATTTCGATCCATGTACAAGTGGATCCCAGGAGAAAGGAATGTAGTCGCAGACGCGCTATCAAGAATCCCCCCGAGCTCGAGCAAAAAGCTGCACAAGTCAGTCGTCAGGAAATTCTTGATACGGCCGAAATTGCAAAATTGTGGCAAACATGGTAGCAAACAACATGACCGTCGCGCAGTTTGCAAAGAAGTTGTAATCATGGAACAAGGACATGCAGCAAATTATCAAGAGGCTTACGCTCGGGAACAAGGTTCCGCATTACTCGCTCAATGATGGTATTTTATACCACCAGACCAGCGAAGATGAATTTCCGCGATTAAATATTCAGGATGACGAGATTCGAGAATTTGTATCATCTGCGAATTCTTGATACAGTAACGGCAGGCCATCCCGTGTCTTATAGGACCTACGTCGCAGTACGAGATAATCACTGTTGGTCTAAATGATATTCAGCGTTAATGCAACGCTTGTGGAATGTGTCAGCGCAACAAAGCAAGACAAGTGAAACCGCCGGGTTTAATGTAACCGCTGGATGAACCACGAGGTAGATGGATCGACATTTCGATTGAATTTGTTGTCATCTCCTCCCAACAAGTATGACTTTAATACCATCATGGTCAGCGTGAATAATCTGACCAAGCGTGCGAAGTTCATACGCCAAACAGCGCAAAAGGGATCGCGAATGTTTCCAAGAAGAACTATGTAAAAGATCATGATCTTCCGAAGACATTTGTGTCTGTAATTTTTGTCCAAGTTTTGGCAGGCTTTTATATCTGCTATGGGAGCGCAGCATAACCTGTCATCAGCGTTGAGGTTACAGACGGATGGACAAACGACACGTACAAACCCTTTTAACAGAGATTATTTTCCTGGAGTCGTTTACCTAGCCCAGAGCAATTAAGATAAAATTCATCATATGGTAGAACTTGCCTACAATTGACGTGTGCATGCTACGATTGGTACATCACCGTTCGAAGCGGATCGTGGGTATATTTTATGCATGCCCGACGATGCCAGAACGTAAGAAGTTGGACAAACGGCAAGAGAATTCTTACTCCGACAAGAAGCCTTCCTTAAGGTCGCGCAAGATCGTATGAGTGAAGCTCAAGAGCTCATAAAGCATTATTACGACAAGAATAGACCTGCCCAAGGCTTTGAGATTGGTGATATGTTTTACTTGACAGAAGGAACATGGACATGAACCACAAGGTATACACGCATCGAAGAAGTTAGCGCCGAGGTTTATTGGATCTTTTCCGGTATAGAAGAAGGTGTCTCGAGTTTCGTATCAAATTGGACTTTTGCAAGGATTAAAGCTGCATCCGATGTTTCATATATCGCTATTAATCCGTGCCAAAAAGACCTTAAGAGGAGGCAAAAGCTGAACATATTTGTCGACGGCCACGAGAAATAAATCGTTGAAGCTCATCGGATATCGTAAGTACAAGGAAAACAGACCTCACCCCTCCTGTTTCCCTGTCCCCCTATCGGGTGCAGCCTGAGACAATGCAGTTTGCTTAGTGCAGCCCAACTTCTCGACAACGAGGACAGCTTGAGAAGAGTAAGTCGGTAAATATCAACTTGTAGGCTGTCAGAACCGCATCAGTTGCTGGATCCACTTGAGTTGTCCAAGCCGAATAAAAGATATGAAACTTACGAGTTTTTAGAACATTTACAAGCTGAAAATATTTCTATGATCAGATGCAATCTCGCAAAATTATGGATCGCACGTTATCCTGCGCTGATGATACCTGAAATTGTATAGAAGTCACTGAAGCCCGGATGAGTCGTTAGCATTTGTTTTAAATAGAATAAACCATCAGCTCTGTTGCTTTAAGTAAGTGTCGTTGGAAGTACTAAAGGTAGCGACAATTTTCGTGGAGACCGGTGAGTGCTGGTGTATGTCACCTTCCGTTGAACCGACACAGACTGCAGTCACATCAGATGAATGGAGTGAATTTTGCGCAAATTGTTTGCAGCAGTTCTCATCCAAAATTTTGCTATTCTTCTAATCATCTGTTCCGCGTATCGTCTTGGCCGAGCGGAGTTGAGCCATACCGACCACGCAAAAATGAACAGCGACACATACTGAGGAATCTGCTTCAGGGTTGCGATGCGAATGTGCATTTGGAGAACACGCACTATTTTATTGATAGCAGTGAACGCATTTATGAATGCTTTAGCTAGAAGCGTCTAGAATCTAGAACCTTCAGCGCACTGGCAGAAGACGGAATGCGAGTTGGAATTGCAAGTCCGCGAAGATAAGTAGCAATATCTTGCGCGGTCGGACCAAACCTGACAAAAGACTCAATTTGGGCTTCTTTAATGCATTGGAAGCGTCTTTTTATCATATTTGGCATGGTTGGCGCTTTTGGCGACCACGAAGTAACCGCATGCGCTGACCGGGTAGTAAGCACATTCGTCACACCAAGACAGGAAAAGCTGGAACACTCGATAGAGGCAAGACAAGTTAAGTCGCAGCGACGTGGGTCTCTCTATAATCTGCTTTATCTCTTTGTTCATACTTCGCTTATATTTCAAGCGATATAGTTTCACGAGTGCCGCTGTGCGAAAATCTGTCTCGAAGGCCACATACTATCTTTTGCCGTCAAGCCAGACAGCAAGCACAATTCAAAGACTCGAGACATATACAGACGGGAAATTCGCTGTAACTAATTCAATGACCAGGTGCTATCTATGGTGTTTTGAATTTTGGCTTACTTGTAAGTCAGCTGAACGTTGACATGGAACCAGATTCATGACCATACGCTGCTCACTCTTTTAGAAAAAGATCATCCCTCTTGTCTCGTCAAGTCTCCAATGCTCTCTACCATGTCGACGCCCGACTCTACTACATTGACTCACCATGTCGGAGTGAAGTGGAAATAAGAAAGTTCAGCGTGTTGCGTCCGCCAGAGAGAGGCAGCATTGACACCGGCAGCTTGGCGCAGAGTGGATACCCCTCGGTGCTCTCTCGGCACATTTGTTACGCGGATGAACTGCAGTCTTAGTGTGAGAAGCCCATTTTTGAGATGTGCACTCGAGCCCGAGGCGGCGAGTACTCCGTCGCTGTATCACTGATACATGAACTGAGAGTGATTCGCGTCGAAATTGTGTTTGAAGGTCAAAACGAACCGTCGATTCCGGCACCGCCCAGTCGTTCGTGGGATTTGTTGACGAGTGGATAGGTACCGGTAAGTCAGTAGTCAACAGGTAATTTAGTAAGTCAACAGATGACAGATCATACAGAACGAGCAGAGGTAGAAATTCCAGTAAATCCAGACAACATATTATGCAGTTAATGCAGACGAAACATTTTGCAGTCAGTGCAGACGACAGGAGCCCAGGGCAGGATGTATAGAATCAGACTTTCAGATGGCAGCAGAGCTGCAAATTAAAGCTAAACTCGACGGTCACGCTTTGTAGCCGATAATTTGGCGCTTTCGACAGCACTTTCACATAGAGTGGCGCGATGACGATCGATCGGTAGTTGTCTGGCTCAGATCATAAGCCTTTCTTATGTACGCACCAATACCTGACTGGCGCTGATTTGCCAGAAGCAAGCCACGCAGCACCCAGCACTCGCCAAACATGTCTGGCGCCACTGGTAAGACCAAGCATTCAAATCGCATGTATGCCTGGGAATGACTTTATGTGCCAAATCGCAACAGCATGATCATTTACCGTCATCTCAGCGTCAAGTATCTCGCGGTCCCAGTCTGAGACGAAGGGCAAGATGTGTGGTTACTCTCATAATTTTCGTTCTTTCAGATGAATTTAAAGTTAAGCAAAGACAATATTCAAAATTGCGTTTTCGCCGCAAAAAAAGTAAATCTCTCTTTTATCGTATTTCTCTATCGCAATGGGTGAAGTGACGACCACGTCACTCGCCGTGGCCATTTCGGCCGCAGCCGCTGCTGCATACATCATACAGCGTCAGCAAACGAAAAAGAAACCCCAAAAAAAGCTTCCATTTCCCACATCGCGGACGCCACTCAAGCGCGTGCCATTAGACGAATTACCAGAGCTAAAAAACGATCTACTGCTTCGTGCTCTACGTGGTGACCACACGGAGCGCGTGCCCGTGTGGTGCATGCGCCAAGCCGGACGGTAATTTTTTTATTCAAGTTCGCTTAATTTTTTTATATCTCATTTACTTTTCTTTTCAGACACCTGCCAGAATTTCGTGAGCTTCGCGATATGGGCTACGACTTTTTTACGGTTCAAATATAACTTTGCTTAATGTTGTATGGACAAATACATGACTATTCCTATGGATACTTCTTTTCAAATTTGATGATAGATGTGTGGAGTGCCCGAATTAGCCGTGGAAGTGAGCTTGCAGCCGTTGCGGCGTTATCATATGGATGCGGTCATCATCTTTTCGGACATTTTAGTGATTCCACAAGCCATGGGAATGATTGTCAAGATGGTCCCAAAAATTGGACCAGTGCTGCCTGATCCGATCCGTACGCCAGAGGACATTGACAAGCTCAATTTAAATCCAGACATTGATGAGACACTGGGTTATATGCTGGACGCCCTTAATTTGGCTCGACAAAAGATCAATGGCGAAGTGCCACTCATTGGATTTGTTGGTGCCCCTTTGACTCTTATGTGCTACATGATTGAGGGAAGCGGCAGTCGTACAAAAGCTCTACTTAAGACATTTCTGTACCAGCATCCAGATGCAGCTCATAAACTGCTACAGGGCATTACGACTGTATGTGTGAACTTCATGCTGGCACAACAGCGTGCAGGAGCCCAAGCGCTGCAGGTGTTTGAGACTGTGGGGGCCGAAGCGCTGACTCAAGACCATTTTTACGAGTTTGTATACCCGTATTTAGTCCAAATTGCAGACCGTGTCAAGGCGGAGATTCCCAACACGCCGCTTATGTGCTTTTGTAAGGGAACACAGTATGGGTATGAGAAGCTTGTAGCTACAAAGTACGACTGCATTGGTCTTGACTGGCAATCAGATCCAGTTTCAGTGCGTCAAATAGCTCGTGGTCGCGTCTCGCTACAGGGAAATCTTGATTCAAGCGTTATTTACGCATCTACTGACATAATTTACGACGAGGTCAAGAAGATGCTCAAGCGCTTCGGCACACAGAAGTACGTGGCTAATCTAGGCCATGGCTGCTTCCCAGATATGAAGCCGGCCCATGTAGATGCTTTTATCAAGGCAGTGCAGCAGATTTCTCTAGAGATGAACGCGCGTTAACGATATGACTTAGTGTTAGCAGCGGGCAGTATGATGTAATAGAACCATGGGTAGCTCATATGCTTTGTGATGACGAGGCGATGCTGAGCACTATGCTTCCAAGAATCTCAATGGCTGAGTAGAATATAATTGTGTCAGCAAATATTTACATTGGCAAACGCATACGAAAGTAAGGTATCTAGCCCGGAAATGAGAAGATTCAAAGTGCCGCAAACATCTTTTGAAAATCTTCGTTCCTCGGTGCTGTTTCATTTCTATATTCGCGTTTCTGCTTGAATGCTCTTCCAAGTATTTTTGAGTGCATGTTTGCATCTCTGCCGCAATCATTAAAATCAACAAGGCAAGCTCAAAAGCATCTACCCATCTGCTCTTCCACTTATGGTTCATTTAGATTGGTTCTGTGCGCGACGGCCTCAACATACTGCAAACGATCAAAATGTCGACAATTTTCTTTCAATTTGAAATGAAGTCGTTGCTTCTTCACAAATTTTCAAGATGCGACTTCTAGCATCGCATTAAATCGCGTAAACTCTGTCCTTTGTCCTCTGTAGAAATCATTATGAGTCGTTTTTGCAAATCACGTACGTCAACAAGTTTTGAGTCAATGCTTGCGACTTAAACTCCTGAACAATCTGCTCCACGCTGCAACTTCTTAACAACATTTCGCAACCAGACAACTGCTTTTTGCTCTTTGCTAAGCGCAAAACAGCTTCACCAATTTATGATGCCTGACACTCGACGACAGTTCTAAGAAGGCAAGACAAGCAACGTTACAACTTTCAGAGGATTTTTCATTTAACAAATCTAAATCTTCATCTACAATCAACAAGGTTAGGAGATTACAGTGATATACCTGAATGAACTTTATGATTTTATCGTGAATTTATAACTAAATTGGCGAGTAAGCGGCCATAGGCTTTTGTATTTCTGCCAAGACTTCGACTGAAACACCCTCATAATCCTGTCTCTAGTATAATAAGCCAAAAAAACTCATCATTTCTTACGTGTAACGTAACCCGTAGTCACCTTCTCCGTCTAGTAACGACATAGCCTCCTTGTCTTCTGCTGATAAAGTTGTTGCTTCCACCGCTGGATCCGGGTCCCATTGATACAGCACTTTACCGGCAAATATTATCATAAACGCAAAGACATCAACGAATATGGATTCTGGTATCCAGTTCCGTAGGCCATCGTGAAGGTTGATGATACCAAAATTATCGGGGTCAACTTGGTACGACGCAAGGACCACGAATGACAGTAAAAACCCCACAAGCGTGCATCCGGACATGGTTGAAACGCTCGTCAGTCGGATGAGCTGGAGCAACAGGAGATTGACCGCAATATTGCTGAAAACGTAGAGAAGTAAGATTGGAAATCCCATCTAGTAGACATACGAACATGGTTGTGTAAAGAAACTAGATGGATGGATACCCAACTTAAGAAAACATACATAGCAGTGATCCGTATCAATCTCACTTTTGCCTTGTATCAAGCAGGTGAAACCGCTGGATAACTGGTCTAGATGGAGAAACTGAATGCAAGAGGATCATGTAAAATTGCAATTAATCGTCGTTTAATTATTCAGACAACTTACTTGAGCATCGAAGACAAGTGGAGCCGCCAGCAATCCTGCAACAAACTGATTTGTTGAAACCCAGGCGTTTAAATACGAAATGTCCACTGGTTGTTCCCGAATCGTACGCTCCTTATATAACATCGATATTGAGCCCGGAAAGGCGGCAAAGAAATAAAAAAGACTGCAGACAACTCGTTGTCAGCTTCTTTTCTAAAATTGACTTTAGTTAATAGCTTGAAAGCACCTGTTCCAGCCGATCTCCCGGTCGTCGAATTCCTTACTATGAATGCTTCATACTTACGTTAAAACCTTTAGCAATTAGTAGTACCACAACCAAACGTACTCTTCAAAACAAGAAATTAATGAGAGACAAAGTCCTCCCGAGATAACGAGCATGCCAATAACTTGAAGTCGTGTATATCTATCATACATCAACAAAATGTCGTAAGAACATTTGTTCGAGTTCTCAAAATAACGCTCTAACCTGACGCCAAAGCACGTAGCCGACATACACGCTAAGATCGGGATCGACGCTTGCATAAACAAAAGCGTTTGAGTCGGATCTGTTCGGCCACCGGCAATGTACAGCATCAGACCCTGATTCATTTTGACACTTATTTAGCAACACCGCAATACATATCAGCTTTTCTTTAGCAGCTGAATCGTACATGAAGCAGATCTAATAGCCCCATCACCAAAAAGTGAATTTTTGGAAATTCCATTCTATCATCTTCTAAAAGATTCTGCAATCACATGACTCTTTCGTTATTATGGTCTTCTGCCACTTCATTATCATCAAATCGTGCGACTCACCTCATGTGTCGCTTTGTAGCTGACAATGCAAAACATCGGAGGAATGTACATGAATGTTATGAGCTGACATAAAAAGTATCTAGTCAAAGAAAAAAAAGTCGGCCACTTTGATGATCTCTGCAATTGAATAGTGTGGCTTACCTGTACGATTCCATTCGGTCCACCATGACTTTAAAAAGAAATCTTTCCGAACACATGGCCACCAGCAGCATCAAAATTGCACCGAATGACAGCAACGACTGTGCATTTTAAAGTGCATTTATTGTGCGTTAATAACTAAGCAGTTTAATCCAGGACGCCGTAATTTGGGATCACTGCGCTTAGCTCGGCGGAGGACGTACCTTGTGAGAGCATATATGATAAGACTTGCCAGTGTTGGCATCAATTCCTAAATTAATAAATGGTGGCGTGCTGAATGCCATGATACGGCTGTATGAGGGACAAAGACCCCTGATAGCAGCCCGTCTTGCTTTGGTTGCGAAAGTTCAATGCAAAAGATGATAAGTAAATATCTAATGTGCACCACACAGCGATAAAGTAATAAGAAAATGATTTAGCAGATTTTTAATCTGTGGCTCTTTCTTTTGCTCACGTTCACGTTCTGAAATAAGCGGAAGAGAAAAGACTGTATCAAGAATAAAAAAGAACATTTGATATCTGCCCTGTTGTCATTCGCCTCAAAGGAAGCATTTATACTAGTCCAAACATGCGAAGGCTTGCTTCCACACTCAAACCAACCATAACAAGAAGACCGATGTAACCTAGCGGTAAGAAATGCACAATCATGGAAAATTTGAACATTTTTGGCTTAGATTCGGCAGCAACACCCAAAAACAGTACGCACCAAATAAACCCTGCAATCTTTTCTTCGGATCTCCAGACGAATAACCGCGCATGTACACGATAAATCCAAGGATTCGCACAAAGGCAGCGATAGCCGCGATCTCGGGGCGATAAACTCTGCGTCCAAGAGAAATTGAATTCAGATAATTGTGATGAATTCAGAAATCCGACGTACGACGATGTCAGATTCAACGCGAAAAAGAGCGGAATATTTTCCAAAAAATTTTGATGACCACGTTGTACGCAGTTAAATGCCTTGGCATTCTTGTCACTCTGCTCTGCATACATCTTATAGCCATAGCAACACTTAGCTCAAGACAACAAATCAAAAAGTCCCAACGCGATCACACCTGCGGATAATGGATGCCGTATAGTCTACGAGCCTTGCCCACCTTATGACTAGCCCAGAGATTCACGAACAGCACAAGCACCACAAGAAGTGGCACAAAACCATGGGCACGCTGGATTTCTACCTGAATCGCCGACATTGGGGGTATTACTCTAGTCTTGTTGTGTCTCTGAAGAAATGTTATTCTTTCTATGCATGCATACGGAAACCCAACTTATTGTCTGTCCCGTCGAATTCACCGTTTTTAGTCCGTTATGTTTTCTGTATAGTTTCAACAGTATTATTAGAAGCTCGTGAAAGAAATGTTTAATAAAAAAACCTCGTGCTTTACTTTAAAATTATAAATACTAGAAAAGCACATTTATAAAACCGGTTTTGTGTTTCAAAAAAAAAACATGAAATTTGCTAGCTTAACAGAAAAATCAGATATTCGAACGGATAAAAACGTCAAAGTTATAGTTATTTTTGTATGATCTCAGAAAAATTCAAGTAGCATGTATTTTTGGCCAAAAATTGCAGAATGCATGTGGTGCTTTGAGGATGTTTATCCGACAACTTGCTGTCTTAACTAAATTTCAAAGTATGCGTCTACGCGGCAGTGTCCATACGAACGGGGCTGCCAGCCTCACGGATGAACTTGTCAAAAATGTTAATAAAAGTATCAAGCAGGAGCCAGTTAGTATCAAAGCCGAATCGACGCGCCCAGTATCCCCGTTGCAGCCAGTTCGCCGCCGCCGCAGAATAGAAGACGATGTTGCTAGCATAAAGCTCGAGTTAACTCCCACGAAAAAAATTAAGAAAAGAGCTGGCATTAAGGAGCGAATCATTCGTGAAGAGCCTAGCGACTGGAGAGAATTGTTACGAGGAATTGAACAGATGCGGGTCACGAAAGACGCCGAGGTGGACAAATTCGGCTGTGAGGTGTGACGCCACTTACCTAAGTTTTATGATGGAGTGAAAAAGCTGAATTTTCTATGGAAATACAGACCTTCTTTATCAAGGGCTTACCTCCTCATGTATGTCGTTTCCACGTACTTATTGCTGCCATGTTGAGTAGCCAGACTAAAGATCCGGTAAATGCAGCCGCCATGGATCGTCTTATTAAACACGGTGAAACATTAAAGGCTAGCATTGATCATTCATGTAGTATTTGGACTAATTGTCGAATGAGTTCTTTAGGATTGTCGGTGGAGTCGATGCTTGAAATTGACGTACAAAAGCTTGCACTACTGATTCGACCCGTCGGTTTTTTCAATCTTAAAGCCAAGTACATCAAACAGACAGCAAGTATTTTAACAAAGAAAGCCGAAGAAGACGGAAAGGACTTTGTTGACATTCCGAATACGTACGAAGCATTAATTGCACTTCCCGGGGTCGGACCGAAGATGGCGACCCTCGTGATGACCTGCGCGTGGAAGACGTACTTATGATCTCAAGTTTTAAGCTGCCTATATTTGTCGACATTCTAATGGTGGTGGTGATGCTTCTAGAACTGTGGGAATTTGCGTAGACACTCATGTGCATCGCATCTCGAATCGTCTTAAGTGGGTTCAGACTTGGAACACGAAAAATCCGAAGTCTCAAGACCCTGAAAAGACTAGAGCGGTAAGAATTCTTGCAAAAGATATGAAATACAACAAATATGACATGATCTTTAATATGACAGGAGCTTGAAGATTGGCTTCCGAAAGAACACTGGGGTACCATCAATCCATTGCTAGTTGGTTTTGGACAGACCATATGTCTTCCACGAGGTCCAAAATGCAGCGAATGTAAAATTCGCGGGATCTGTCCGTCAGCTAACAGTTCTGCGATATAGTATATTTAACAGGAGTCAATAAAAGAATTGTATACCCTCATAAGATTTAATGATCACTTGTCCATTTATCGTTAATACAGAGACTCAATGTGTCGATGTTTGGTGCTAGTAAAATGGTCGATCTTTAATTAAATTCAAACCAGGCCAATCTGGAAGATGCTCTGACAAAGTTTCTTCCTCTGTAACCCGTTCAGTCTTAAATAACTCGATAAACTTTATACAAAAATCAAAGGCAAATGAAAATATAGATCAATGTTGGTAAATAAACATCTTCATACCTGTTGATCCATCATTCGGGGCTTAGGTGCCGAGAAGCGAATATATTCATCAAATATTGAACTAAACGCCCAGCGCTGTACCTTACGCAATGAACCGACTAGGCATCCGGTGCGATGCTGGAAGAAAAACAATCATCATATAATACTGCTTTCCTTACAACGAAAAAGATCATTTCAGACTCACCTTTCCTTTGTTGCAATGAATCAGCATCGGATGGTTACGCTTATCCAGCACAGCTTTTAAAGCAGCTACAATACCGTCTTCTGGAATGTCCACGAATGGTTCCTATCGGTTATAGAATTCGTCATTCTGTCACTTCATTAAATCTGAACAACATTACGCCGAACGACCTTGTTGCCTGGAACACCAAACTGCAGTAGCTTGATACCATGCATCTTATTAAATTCCGTATTAGCCAATGGGTAGTCTTCCAGTACTAGCGTCAAGATGGACGTGAGCTGCAGCGATTTTTTCAAGAATGCAAAGTTCTTTTTCTTTGGAAATCCACCTACAAAAAAAACCAAATTAGCGATCATTCCATAATTCTTCGATTGCACTACACACTTCGATAGAGTCCTTTTTCAATCATAGCAAAGTTTTCAGGTGGAATGAGTTCCTCATAGTCACTATCTTCTTCCTCCACGCCCTTGACTTGAGCTGGGTCCTCTACAAGCGACGATGCTAACCTCGATATCATAGGGTTCTTGGATTGGTCAAAACGTGACACTTTTATTCTCCCTCTACAAGAACACGCGTTACCGACATGGTAGACACTACGAATGACGTTCCTGTAGTCTCTACTAGCGATGCAGCTGCTCAAGCTACATCTGATCGAAGATATAAGCGTCAAAAGGTGGCGAGGACAGCACTGACGCTTCGTGAAAAGAGCATCGTCAAGAGTTTTTGTGAACAAAAGTTAATAGACTGCAAGGACCGAGGCCAGTCTGCGCCGTCTCAGGAAGTCTTGCGACAAGAGATAGTAAGTCAATTTGGATGGTCATGCGGTCGATCAACGCTCTCCAAAATTATTGCAATGGATTGGAAGTTATTGCGAGGTAGTCATGAAGGTGGTGAGGCGCCTAGAAACTCGAATATGAAGCGACGTCGACGTCCGCTGTTTCCAGCATTTGAAGCAGATCTAGTCAAATTCATACGTGCACATGCTGATGACGGGGATCGTACGGACAATATTGTCGGAGTGGCGACAGAGATTGCATCAGACGATACTGAAGGTGCTACGAACGTGGGAGTTTTGTCGACTAGAACTGATGAAGATCGAAGACGACCGTTAACAGAAGCGTTAATCCTAGCAGAAGCACAACGACTGAAACATGTGCATGGTATATCGGATAATATGCTTGTGCTTTCGGTTGGATGGCTTGCGCGTTTTAAACATCGGCATTGTATTCGTTTACGGAAATCTACGCGAGCAGCGAATAAAACTACGGTGACGAGTACCGTGTGTGAATCGATCTCTGATTGGAACGATGGGCTATCACCAGCCTCACAGGCTGATTTTGAGCAGCTTGCACCTCGCCACCATGTGGGAATTAGCGATCATGAAGGACTTTTGTCATCATCTAGTCAACCGCAAAACACTTTGACGATTGAATCGGCGTCTTCAATGAATGAAGCTCCAATGACATTGTGTTCTGCGCAGTGGTTTGAAAAAGGGCGGATGAAAGCATCGTCCAAAACATTGGCTTTTTATAATCAAATTCCAAAAAGCATTCGTGACTTAGGCTGTGTATGTCAGGAATTTGATGACTTTGTTGGTGCGATTGAAGGGTTACATGTGGCTGTCGTGGGACTTGGTAGTGTTGCTGATGCATTTCTTCTGGCTCAGGCAGTTGGTGCAAATGGATTTGTGACATGCATTGAAACTAGTTCCTCAAATGTTTTCGCTGCAGAAAGGATAGCTAGAAGTTTCTGTCTTCGCACACTGGGACTATCTTCAGTGAATATGAAATTTATTGTGGGAGATTACAGTAATGTAGACTCCCAGTCTGCATTGACTTTACTAGGTCATGAACTTTTAACTTTACGTGGTCACATTGATATTGTCCATTGTAATTGTTCAATCCGATCGTCGAACTTTCTTTCGGACAAACATGACTTTTTGAAGACGGCATTCAGTCTTTTGAAGGTCGGTGGTGAATTACGCGTGACTGATTTGGTTTGCACTCGGCGGTTGTCCATGTCCGAAAAAGAAGATGCTGGGAGTACAAATGATATAAAGGCAAAAGCTTTGTGTACACTGGAGAGCTCAATCCAGACACAGCAAAAAGTTGTACTTGCCGCTCCGTACATAGGCGATCTCCAACGTTTGTTTCGGAATCTCGATTCTAATGCTGATTTACGAGTCAGAAGCTGCAGCAAAGCCGGCACGGTAACAATTGACAGCGCGATTGCTCATATGTTCCCAACGTTTACTTCGAGTTGCACTCGATTTCGCCGAGCAACTTTTCGCACTTTTCGACTTGAAAATGTGGAAGAGCCTTGCGAAGATTATGGACAAACGGCAGTTTTCAATGGTAGCAAAGTTAATGATACAACCGATGAAAGCACGGTAGTCTCCGATTCATTTAGACTGGACGACACATGGAATTTTGAAAGTGGAGTACGAACTCCTGTAGATGGTAACACAGCACAAATATTGCAATCAACTTGGATGCAAAGATACTTTTCAGTAAGTGGAGATCGCTCTAGACACCGTGGTATATTTGCAAATGAAGTGCATGCCACTTCAACGACTTTGCCAGCCGTCGAAAGTGCATGGACATTAACGTCGAGTGGGATTACTACCGTCGCTAATCAATCTTCCCTCACAGTGTCTTCGGCACTGACCGAACCTTCGGTAATCGCAAATATTTAGTCGACACGTAAAGTATCGCAGATTAAATTAGAAATTTGCGTGATCACCAATTTCTTTGTTGAGAGCTTGTACGTAAGCATGTCGAAATTCCTGAATAAAGTGGATTGTTTAAGAGAATCTCATACGTGTTCGTACGTTTAATAGTTTTCTTTACTGATGCTTGTACCAAATTTATTCTGTCTCAAGAGCCAAACAACATGCATCTAGGTTAAGAAGCTGTAGCTAGCGATGAAATTTGAGTTTACAAGACTCGTGACTACCGTGTGCACGCTACTGCACACAAGACGTACTTCAGAAATGAGCCGACGATCATATCTGGCCATTGACACGGATGTCTCAAGTTTTTCGCTCCACTTGAAGAAACTTCAACTTTGAGCGTGGTCCAAAACTTCGTAAGCTATCCAAGTTGACAATTATGATAGAGCTAGAGCCAATGACCTACGGAATGGGTACATGGGGTAATCAATGACGGAAATAGGCTAAGGGCCATGTGTTTGCGTTCTACTGGGAGGTCAGGGACAACCTCGTGAAGCTGGCGATGAATGAACATTTATCATGGGTATGTCGAGGTGAGGATTGCTGATGCAGATAGTAATGATGCCGCCAAACACTTTCATCATAGACGCCACCTGCAGGTTAGACTACCGTGGTGAGTATTTGGTTTGTCCGATCGTGTACGCATTTCCCATGAGGTGACATTGTTTATGGTTCCTTAAGCAACCAACTGTTTATGAGACTAGGCTATTGCCTTAGCGGGGAACGCACTATCACGTGACGCACAACAATCTGGTAGTGCACTAGACGCTGACAAAGAAAAGTCAACATGACGCAGTTTACAGAGATTTCAATGCCGGATGCGTTTCTTCCATGATATCAAAAACGTCAACAAGCGATTGATGGCTATACATTAATAGTATCGGCTAGCATACTGCGAACTGCGTACGATTTACACTTTGCGCATGTTGACTTAGACTTCGAGCGAGTTCAAAGGCAATGCGGAAAAGAATGAGGCACAATACACATTCCGAAGAGTCTAAATTTTATAACAAACTGTCATGAATTTTCTCTTTTCTTATTGCTTCGTGGTGAGAATTCCAATAAGCAGCTAGTAATTCAATTGTTGCTATAATCGAGAATATGAATTGTAACCTTAACAAAACAATAGTTCAGGCCCACCAATTTCCGTTGCCATGAGTCATATCTTGCACGCAGTCTCCACTGGTTCGCAGGCGTCCCTGGTGCCCATTAAGCGTGCACTTCTCTCTGTATCCGATAAAACAGGTGTCGTAGAACTAGCGACGTATCTATCACAACATGGAGTCGAGCTATTGTCCACAGGCGGCACAGCCAAAGCGTTACGTGATGCCAAGCTCCACGTTGTTGATGTCTCAACATACACAGGCTCGCCTGAGATCATGGACGGTCGTGTCAAGACTTTACATCCCAAGATTCACGGCGGTCTATTGGGAGTGCGTGGCAATGCGCAACACGAGGCAGACATGGCTGCTAATGACATTCAAAATATCGATCTAGTAGTGCTTAACTTGTACGCATTTGAAGCTGCTGTAGCTAATGGCGGTGACTTCGACACATGTATTGAAAACATCGACATTGGTGGACCATCCATGCTGCGCTCATCGGCAAAGAATCACAAAGCTGTAGTCATTTGCTCAAGCCCGTCGCAGTACTCATCGCTTGTTCAAGAGCTCGAAACCAATAAAGAATCCTTCAGCACTACGATTGAATTTCGACGTCGCTGCGCTGCTGCAGCCTTTTCCCTCGCGGCGTCGTACGACTCGTCCATCTCGTCGTGGCTTAACGGTGAGCTCGGCACGTCAACTTCAACTGTCACGCGAGTATATAAAACTGAATTTCCACTCAAGTATGGTTGCAATCCACATCAAAACCCGGCTGCGATTCTCAGTCGTGTAGGTACCACGCTACCGTTTAAGGTGCTGAATGGAATTCCAGGGTATATCAATTTGCTAGATGCTGCCAACGCTTATCAGCTCGTACGTGAACTTCGTTTGTCCTTGGGTCTTCCTGCTGCGGCTTCATTTAAGCACGTTAGCCCTGCTGGTGCAGCTGTAGCTGTTGATCTCGAGGAAGGTCTACACGCCGCGTACGAAGTCGGCGACGTGACGCTTACCCCGCTTTCGCTTGCCTACTTGCGTGCTCGTAATGCTGACCCCTTGTCGTCGTTTGGAGACTTTGTCGCTGTTAGTGACATAGTCGATGAGGCCACCGCCAAGATCTTGAAGCGAGAGGTTAGTGACGGAATCATCGCCCCGGGTTATGAGCCGGCAGCGTACGAGATCCTTAAAGCGAAGAAAGGTGGTAAATTTATTGTGTTAGAAGCTGATCCAACGTTCGCGCTCCCGGATATTGAGTACCGTGAGGTTGCAGGTATTACGTTTGCTCAGAAGCGCAACGACGTGATTTTCTCACCCGAAACACATCTCGCAGATGTGCAGACGACTGGAGCGGGTCCTTTGACTGAAGCTAAAAAGCGTGACCTCACGCTTGCTGCTATTACACTCAAGTACACGCAGTCCAACTCAGTTGGTTATGCCAAAGACGGACAAATGATCGGAGTGGGCGCTGGCCAGCAATCACGTGTAGACTGCGTCAAGCTTGCAGGTCGTAAAGTTGCAATCTGGCACCTGCGTCAACACCCAAAAGTCCAAGGTCTTAAATTCAAGAGCAACGTCAAGCGCCAGGAGCGTGTAAATGCCCGTGTGCGCTACATTGAGGGTGACATGGCGCCTGCAGAGCTCGAAACATTTAATGCACTTTTCGAGACTGTCCCAAAGCCACTAGTGGCAGCAGAAAAAGACGAGTTCCTCAAAAATTTGACGGACGTAAGCCTGGCGTCTGATGCGTTCTTCCCTTTCCGTGACTCAATTGATCACGCTACAAAACTTGGTGTTAAGTTTATAACTCAACCTGGTGGTAGCACTCGTGATGCTGATGTCAAGGCTGCTTGTGACGAGTTCGGTATCACCATGGCTTTTTCTAATCTTCGTCTTTTCCATCACTAAAAGGTAAGAAACTGTCAACAACTAGGTCAATTTCATCAAGGTGAAATTCTTAGAAAAAACAGTGATTTGTTAAAATGCAGACTGACTTCTCCGTACGTCTATGTTTTCCATTAACTGGTCATTCGAGCAATTTATAATGTGCGGTGGTACCAAGCTTTTATTGCCCGTCCCTCTTCCTATCTTTTTCTTGATGCTATTAAATCATAACCTTGTTATCCAGTGGCCTGTTTCTAAACTTTGTCCTGATGCTATTGATTCTTAACCTTGTTATCCAGTGGCTTGTTTATAAACTTAAAGTAGATTGTGGAACCAAACACAAGCACGGCGAAGATTGCTGTCCAGATGAGTTTGACATAAAGTGGGAAAGGCTCAGTGAACATGCCTTTGCCATGCTTGATGATCACAAGCACCTCAGTTACCACTACGGCAATACCTAGCCATGCACGCGGTCCAAGCTTCATAACTGGCATCTTTTTACCTTCATAATTAATTGTGAATGAGCAAAAAATGTAATACTCTGCAACTGCGTAGCTTCCAGCTGAATACCAGATCGAGAGACGATAAATGTTGAGGTTGCTACTTGCAGGGACCCACAACACTGTCTTAAGAAAAAACGAATTCAGCATCATGATCGAAAGAATCGCTACCATCGACATGACGCGCCAAAATCGCTCTGCCGATCGAAAGATCTTCCAATCGTACGCCATCCAGTACGCAGGTGTAAATTGAGCTAATGCACGTTTGGCTTTACCAGTCAAGTTCGGAATTTTTCGAATGCCGACCCAATTAAAGTGACGCATCTCAAAGTAGCGACAAATCTTCATCCCCAAATAAATACCAGCAGCATTGCAGGTAAAAATATCCAGAAAGACATGATCCCACCAGCACTCATTGAAATTTGCAAGCCAATGACTAAATGTGATTTCATAAAGTTCAAACATGACACTTAGTATCCACGAAATCATCTTACTCCGTACCATAATCGAGCCGACAATCCAGCCAAAAAAGTGCATTATCACAAAACGATCAAATACTGTCGCTTTAACATTAGCAAAATACGAGTCTGGATTCTCTGGTGTATATATTCTGCAATCCGAAGCATAAGACGTTTCGGGAAGCTCAACGCCAAGATTCGAGTCAAAGACCTTGAGAAATTGGCGTGCATCATAAGTTTTAAGAAATAGTAATACAATCAGAACCATTTCGTAAAGAATAAAAATGCCGGTAAGTAGACGCCATACGATAGGATGTGGACGCACAAAGTGACCGTCGGGTAGCTGTAAAGTACAATACGTGAGGAAAAAGAGGCACGCATACTTGACGCCACGTTGAATGTCAGCTGCATATTGGTCCTTTGGATCGTGAATAGCTATAACAGACTCGTGAAATGCGGCGTAGACAATCCAGAGCATGAGTAAAAAGCCTACACTTAAAGTATGAGGGCTGCTAATCCATTGGCTCTCGTTGTTGTCATCGACCTCAACCGTTTCCTCAATACTCCACTTTCGATTAGCATAATTCCTTCCTGGATCTGTGCCATAAACCTCCGGAGCATCATCAAGATCCGAGTCACGGCGAGATCGAAGGACAGTACGCTGCGCCGTCTCGTCCTCCATCTAAAATCACGGCAACTTTTCGCAACGTTTGAATCTTATAAGAACATCACTTTTAATTTAAGGGATACGGTAATGGTAACCACAAATTAAAGCTTAGATTTTAAATTAAAAAAGAGCTATTTGAGTGCTATGTTGGCCACATAATCAATGCGCCATGAGATGCACAGCATCATTTAATTTGGTAGCCGTAGTGTGTAATGCTACATGAATAAGTTTCTTGAAAGCATCACGAGCTTCATCGTCACGTAAATCGAGCATTAAAGTCTTGTGTACCCATTTGATGCAATCGACATTGTAAAGTTCTGGAATACCACACGTAAGTGCAAGAACCAGCAACGTAATGAGAAGATTCGAGTTTGTTCGCAAGACTTGAAAAGCTTCACAAGCATAATGTTGAAAATGTTGATAATTTTCACTTTTTTTTCCTCCCATTATGTCAAGCATCGATGGAGTAAAAACAAATGGGGCACGTTCTCTTTTGACCCCTAATTTTGACTTAAAATTCCCCAGAAAATGCCCAAAATCAATATGAAAGAACTTCCCTGAACGTTGTAACATGAGATTATCGTTATGGCGATCGCCAATCCCCAAAACATAAGTAGCTACGCAATATCCAGCACAAGAACGCACAAAGTTTTGCGTGATTTCCAAACCTCGAACAGATAGCGATGTTTTGCGTCGACGTGGAGAGATTGGAAAACAAGATGAAACAGATTTTGAACGCGTTTCTTCTTTCATTGGACTGTTCAATTCGGAAGGAGGTAATAAAGTCGAATCGAAAGATTCTTGACTAGAAGTAGCTTTTCCTTTATCCTTTTGAAACAACCAACTTGAAAGTACACCATCTTTCAATAAAGCGTCTTTCGCAGAACTAAGTTTGCGACTAAGTTTTGTTCGAGCATTCGCATGTCGAGCATAAATGATGCTCGCTAGTGTCTCGGAATCACCCACCACTTCAATCATGCCAATCTCATCACCTGTTGAGATACAAGCGTATGGTAGAAGACAAAGGTCTAGACCAGCTTCTCGCCATAAATCATCCATCACGCGAAGAATCTGAAGTACAAGTTGGTCTTGTCGAAGATCGTCGCCAGCTTTAAAAATTACATATGGTCGACCATGTTGAGCCTTGGCACTTTCAAATTGTAAGAAAAGAGGACGCTTTTTTGATTCCATTACACGACAATTCTCAACAATCACGCGAGTGCAATACGATCTTGGCTGTAATGGAAGTTGAAATGTGTCAGGGAAGACAACAGCTTCCAGTGCCTTAGAAAGTTTCTCCTTCCGACCAGATGAGGACGATTCACTCTTAACACATGCAGCAACTTCTTCGAGTTTCTTCATCACATACACCGATTGACGGATTTCTAACTTGTAGCTCCCACATAGCTGTAGATATTGGCCTGAGATCAGATTAAACCGCTCGGCTGTTTGTGGATTATGTGCTTCAGCTTTAAGAAACCAATACAACAAGTAGCCAATTTGTGAAGGATTAGTGAGAGCACGCATGAGTAAGAACCGAGCTAATGCTGAATCGTGGTATCGTTCATTTTTAAGCGCTTGAACAAGCTGAAGAAGGTACAGCTGTAATCGATGATCGGGCAACGCGTGCATGCAGCGCACAGCGTAAGCTCGAACTTTTGGATCTGAATAAAGTGGACTTAGTAGCTGGAGGGCCTGAAGGTAGGTTGGCTGTTTCCAAAGCAAGAGCATTCGATAGGTTTCGAGCACCTGCTCTCGATTACCCCACTCAACAGAGAGTAAAAATGCTGGAAGCAGTGCTGAATCGTTTTTCAGCACTAAACGGGACGACCAAATGAAGGTTCGATCATCGGCCGACAAATCTACTAACGGATCTTTTATCAGTCGCTCTAAAAGCTTTTGTCGATCTGTTGGCATACTTGCTAACGACAAAACTTCAAGCATTTCGGACGTTTGATCATTGTCAGGCTTATAAAAAATGGATGCTCGAAACGCGATACTTTTTTTCGGCTTTGATAAGCTTGAAAATGCAAACATCTGAGAATACGAACCAGAGCACTCCAACGTAATCTCCATACTTCCAACAGTACGATTATTGAGGCTATCATGATGCAAGCAGTTCTCAATATCAAGGGGCGTGATTATACCTGATGCAGGGGGCGAAACGATATCCACGAGCATCATTCCAGTTCGTAAAGTATGACCAAAATCAAAGAGGTGTAGCCCGCTCCATGCTATCACTTCTCCCGTTTTTGTTACAAATGAAAGTTTTAAGTGTGAACCGTGAGGCATATCGATCAGTTTGAGTCCTAGCTCGATCCCGCTACTTGGATCAAACGTGACTTCGCGAGTTGATTGAGCCAATGTTTTGCCATCGTTTGAGAAACGATGCGATTCGTATCGCAAAGTCGTGCTGGTCTCAAACAATATAGTAGACCCATGTTGGATACTTACTTTCGCCAGCAAAGCGATCTCGGGTACATTTAATTGCGCTCTCGTGATATTGAGAAAAAGTTGCCGATCATCTTTTGATTTTAAAGCTTCAGGTGGGGATGGAAACAGCTCTGTATTCCCGAATTCGCTACTTTCGGTCGCGGAACTCGAGATTTGTGGCGCTAGACCTCGTGATGAGACGTCAAAGAAGCGCTCGTAATGAAAATACAGATATCTACCAAGCTCTTCTGTTACAAATTCTAAGATGCAAAAGTCGTTGCTGGTGGCAGAGCTCAAAGAAACTTCATGGTCGCTTGCTTCAAGTACAATTTCAAGCACACCAACAATCTTAGCATTGTCAGTTGATCCTCGATTAGTTTGTAAGGAAGCAAATTCAAAAAATGGAGCTGCAAGTATGACTGAGTCAAAGCGATACAATTCGCGCGCGACATCATTGCTATCAATCTCGTCGCTCAGTAACTCTAGTGCGTCTCCAATCCAGATTGGTCCACGCCGTTCAAGAATCTGCTGCCCGGTGCTTGTCTTGATATCGACATATCTTTTTGAAAATTTTTCATCGGAAAACTGAAGCGGACACATACGTTACTACTGCTTTAATTGTCTTTGCCAACATTATAGATGAAGCATTACCTTAATGATAAGTTTTTCATTCACATCATCATATGCATAGATCCTCACTTTTCGAGCTGAGAAAATCGATGTCAAAGCATTTTTCACATATTCCAAAGTATGATCAAGTTCATTTTCTGGCGATATATTCGAAAAATGGTCTTTGCAAAAGGTTTTGACAGAGCAATTGGCATATCCTCCAGGCTCAGCAGTAGGATATTCACTTTTTTGTCGAATTAGACTAAACTGCAACGCCCACTTCTTAAAACTCTCCATCTACACAAACAAGTGATCAGGAACTAAATTTAAGCAAGAGGTTCTTCCAAATGTCTTACCTCACTTGTTTCCAAAACTAAGTCATTCTTCTCTGATTTAATAGCAGCACCACATGCAGCGTTAAGATCCAGAATAGTCTAACATCAAGCAAAATCAAATTAATAACAATCAGTGCCACGTTCATACCAAGTTACACTAAACCTTCATGGGTATCGTCAAGTACTCTGCTAATTCCATAGCAATCACTTTCGAGTCTGACGATCCATTCAGTAAAAAGTAATCACCGATTCCAAGCCTCTGTTGGGGACACAACGTTGCCTGCTGTAAAGCGATGGCATGAGGAATCGATACCTTTGACAGGGCCAAGTTACCACACGTGACGATACAAAAGTCCTCTTTCTGCTGCGAGTTTACATTTGAACCCCCTAGACCCAGAGTTTCGCCTGGACGTAAGCGGACACGTCGACTAGCTGTAACTAAAGTCTTGATTTCATCAGCCGAGAACGTATGAAAGTACGGCACACTGCAAATCAATGACGTTGGCTACATTTAAAGAGTGCAATTAATTCTCCTTCAACGTGAAAGTAAAAGCGACGACCAGAACGCACCGACATGTTCTGCTGTTTAAGCTCAATCTCATTTTTAGTCCGATCATTAAACTGCATATTCATTCGCTTCATAAACATAAGTTGTCGAAAAGCCAATTTCCACTTGTTTTCTTTTCCATGCTGTTCAACCGTTGCTTGAAACTCTGAACCATTTTGATCAAGTGCAATATCCGTACGTGCAGCCTCACGTGCTTCTTCCGAATCAAGACGCAACTCATTAGCCATTTTCGGATGCATGTCGATCGAACTATCCGATTCAACAACCATCGAGCTTCTGCTTTGAATGTTTTCACAAGAGAAAGTGAATTTGTCGCTTCATCTACATCCGTTACAAAAGAAGCGCCTTAGCATTTCCATCGGCAGTTTCAAAGCAACGAGTAGAGCATGTCTAACATCGAAACGACCTTTTAAAGATTGAATCGCATTGACAAGAATAACTCAAATCGAAAATTGTCAGAACAGTGAACCTTTCATTGATTATAGCAGACTAGTCACACCAGATATAGAGTAGTGTCTTCTCTCTTGGCATATATTGCGGAGCTCACGCACTCTGCCTCCTTCTAATACGTAACAATATCGACTGCATCTACTGCATTACAATGAAAAAAATCTCCAAACGAGAAAGCTACTTAAACAATAGTCGCACTGAGGTACCAAGTGAAAAAATCCCTTAGTCATGCAACGCTTCCGATCGCCATTGCGGAAGTTGAATGACACAAGCAGTAGTAGATTTCTCAGATAATGATAAACGTCCCATTTGTTCAACACATTGTTCAAACTGAGCAAATTGCGACTGTAGCTTCTGCGCTTCTTGTACGCGATTGAAAAGGAGAAGCATCTCAAGCAAACCTCGAATTTCTCGTGCAAGTGATGCATTTGGACGCAGTTCGAGCAGTTGTTGTTCGACATAAGCTTCCTCTTCAGCGCTTCCTTCCTTCATTCGTTTTCTTCTCTCTCGACGTGAATATCTGCCGTTATGTTTTGCATTCTTGCTAGCATCTCTAAGTGATTGAGTAGCGTAGAAATGACTAGCTGTTGCCATCGACAATGACTGCATTGAAAAGTTTCCAATACTTGCGGCACTATTGTGACTGCCGACGGAACTGACAGAAGTATAGGAAAGCGCACTATCGACAGCGCTTGATGCACCCGAGTGAATGCTACCTGCATCAGTATCAACATGGTCCCATCGCGTACCATCGATCCCGTGGAGCTTAAACAGCCGCTTTTGTTCACGAATATCTGTCAGTCGTTTGAAGTGCTTCGTATACTGCGTTTCCTTACGTTCTATCTCTTCCATAACCTCATTGCAACTATGTAGCAAACCAGGTTCGACATCACTCTCCACCAAATCATTGCGCCGGTGTAGGTAAGCGATACGCAACGCTTCTGACCATTGCTGATGAGTAACCAGCAACGCAACAGCTTCATCGATGTCATTACAATACTCAACATAGATTCTTGACACAGCTACGATATCATCGACAGTTCCATCTTGTCGATGCTGCGTTTGGTTTAAAAGCTCTTGTGCAAGTGCATAAGCTTCCTCTCGAAGTTTGTCAGTAGATTGTTGGTCGCGAGCGCTTAAAGCTAACGCCATCTGCCAATTACGTGCAGCAATGAATGCACGTCGAGCTTTATCTTTGTCTGAAGCCGACAGGTATACATACGCTGCAGCTTCATAATCTTTCTTTCCAAGCAAAAAATCACCTTTCAAACTCAAGATTTGTTGACAAAAGGCACGGTCGCTCAGTGCTGTAACAGCTTTCAACGGCGCGAGAGGAAAGAGTTGAAGAGCATCATTATATAGTTCTCCTTCCTTGATTAGATCAAGAGCGATCGACTGCAACTTACTCCTTGCTGCTTGGTCGTCAGGACTACTTTCGCTAATCAGAGCAGCGACATGAGTCAACGCTCGAGCATGGCGTCCGAGGTGGACGTCGATCGTGTACTTTCGCCAATACTCATTGGTTTGACTAGTCACACGGTTTAAAAACGGACTGTACTCTTTTGGATCAAGCTGAGAATGCATAGCCACAATTCGCACGAGATCTAAATCATACAGCCCCAGTGCTTCCGAGTACAGAGTTTCTTCGTTCGTTAACATGATCAAATGTTTTACTGCTCGCGTTGCTGCCGCTCGATTTCGAGCTGAGACACTTTGATCATTCGTATCACTTTTTTGGAGAAGTTGCTGAATCTTTCCAAGTGCTTTGTCAAAGCACGGAGGAGTTTGTTTCACTGCACTCGTGACAAAAGGAAGTAGCAACGCAGCTTCAGCTTGCTCTCCATCGCTCGCCAGTTTTTCAGATACCCGCATAACTTCTTGACACACCGTATTAACTTTTTTCTCAGGACTTAATGCTGCGCCATTGGGATGGTCATCTGAGAGTCTAGCGACATTGAATGCTTCAAGCTGTGGTCCATATTTCGTGGCCCACACGTCTACAGGATGGAGATTCGTTATAAAGAGACAAAGTCGATCACTCGTGACTGTAGCTGGTCGAGTTGAAAGGAGAGACTGAACGAGTGATTGTGAAAAGTTGGTAAGAAATTCGGCCGGATTCAAGTCAACAAGTACATTTATATCGAGTCGGTGACGGCGACAAGTCTCCAGAGCCGCAACATACTCTCGATTTTGAATCTGATGTACGACGAGAGCTAATACCAATACACGCGGAAAGACGGACTCTAGATTTCCACGTGGCATTTGAACAATGACACTGGATTGCTGGCTTAATGTTGCAACTAGCAGAGCACCACGCTCAACAGACCGAGCTTCAAATTTTACTTTTGTGATATTTCCATAGGCAAAGTCCAATATACCAGACAATGGCGCGATACAAAGTTGAGACTCTCGACCTTGTAGTGTGTATAAAAGCATAGACGATCGCGCACAGTAGCGAAAGGATGAACAGGCAAAAGCTATCACTTTATCATTCACATACAGCCTTGCGCTGGATCCATTCAGTCCAATCACCACATAGCCATATTCATCTTTTTCCCGTGGCATAGATTGATCGTGACAATCAAGCACAGTTATACAGGAGAACGTTGGAAGTTTTGTACGTCGTTGACCTGGCATCAAAGTCTTCGACATAGCATCTAATGTGTACATAGTTCCGCTATGTGTCTGTATGGCAAGTTCGATCGATAGCTTTTCACTCTCTCGATCGTTTTTGACAAGCATGGGCTGTATTAGACAAGCTCTTCTAACATCATAAAGCTGAATCGGATGAGCTGTGACAACCTCATTCGTCTCCAAGCTAACGTTGCTTGCCAAGCAAAGCATCAGCTGATCCCGCCACCCAGTCTTACCAGCAAATACAAGTTGGCGAGTTAAATTTTCAAAACGAACCCAAAGCAGACATGTAAACGTGCATGGTTTATCATCCACCATGCTAGAGAGTTTGATCGCAGTCTTTTTCATCAATACGTCTGGAGAGATACTTCCAACTGCACTCCTTTGCGAAACAGGCAAACCTGCTGATGACGATGATGCATCTGCTGCGAGAAAGTTTTCAACTAGAATGACATCTCCATTTGCGAGCAGCACAAGCAGTACCTCTGCCTGTGAATCAAACACGACTGAATTGATAGCTGCATCCAAAGTGAGTTGAAGCAAAGCAAACGGTGGAGGTACCAATGCACGATGTAGTGGTGTAAGCAGTAGCATAGATCCATCGATTACTCCTGTCACCGCTACACTCTGACGCGGCTTAGCGACGTCGCAACTTTTTCGCTCCATACTTAAATAATCCAGCTTCAGAGATGGATTGTCACTTTCAATGCTACAAATATCCCATGCATATTCGTGCTCATACAAGGTTAATGCCTGTGTGTATGAAGAGCAAGTGAGAACATGAAACCTGCCTGCAACATCTTCATCCCAAACCAAATCAATTAGTCGATTTTGAAAGTGAAGCTCTTGCTTGAGATACCAGTGATAATTATTTCTTGACCAAAGTTGGATAATAAAGTGTTCATTCTTATCATGTTCTTTTTCTTGTAAAGTCACTGCAAGTACATCGGACTTTGTATTCCATTGTACACTAGCGACTTGATACTCTGATGCGTCGTATGCCGCTGGAATGACAAACTCACCATGGCGCAACCCATTGCGCTCGAAAAACACCACAACTAATCGCTTCTTTCGTACTTCACAACTCGCAATTAAAGCAAGAGATTGACTCCAATGCAACGGTGAACCAAGTTCTGATACAGCACGTCCATCCTCAAGTCGTCCCAATGCTTGAAACTCGAGCAATTTTGTAAAGATCATCACCTTGTGCACCACATTATTATCTCTTGTCCTTGTCGCAATGTTAAGTGCAATGTATGCAGCATCACTGCGCCAGCAGAGGTCACAATACCAATTCTTTTCGTCTTGTTCAGTGGTGCATAATGTAAGATCTGATGGCAATGAGTCTATAATCGCCGTTTCGTGGAGTGTCTCCCAATCATTGCTCATGACAAGTAAAGAGTTTGCACCTGTGACAAGGGCCAGTACCTCTTGATTCGCACTCCAAGCGATGGCACGGAGTCCACTATCAACATTCCCAACTTCTTTGCCAATCATAGAGTCCACATCCACTGCGACCAGTGCACCGGTGGTAGAAGCACACACGAGTGCTTCTAACTCAGCCACGTACTTCATCCACTTCCAATGATTCGTTGATACGCCATTGTCTTCCACACACTTTTGTAAATCAAACACTATCTCCAGATCTTTACCATGAGCGTGCATATCCTGTTCGTCGAGATGCAGCGACTCAATAAGGCCACTGGAATGTAAGAAGAAAAGATGTTCATCGCCAGGAATCGACGTAGATGCAACACAGTGATCGTCAGAGGTGCTAGACGTCTGAAGCGACCACACACGACGCTGCAATGACACCAAGTTGTGCATGAGGAGACCAATCAATACACTATGAGATTTCGACGAAAATGTTTGAACATTAACATTAACTTTGGTAACTTAAATGGACACGAAAACGTTGCTTAGCACTCTGTCTCCACAGCTACTGGGGCTAGTCGAGGCTTCATTGGGGTCCAAAGTACCTTCCTCTACAACCTTTAAGCAATCCACTCATTCTGAACCAAAAGCTGTGCGTGGAGCAATGGATTCAGAACCCTATGATCAAAGTGTACGACTTAATCCCACGGATCTATTCAGTACGTTGTATTGCTTTGGTTAGATAGATTGCACTATGCTTAACATCTTGTGACAATTGCTTTAGCGCTAAGACATCCTGATTCTCCTGGCTTTGTGATCAAGGAGAATTTCTTAGGATACCAAAATGCTGTGGCAGTGCGAGATGCTTTAATGGAATTGACAAAGAATGAAAAGTTTTGTGAAGCCAAGGTCGGTACAGGTGAGAATTCGCGCAATGATCAGGCTTTAAGAGGCGATAAAATCCATTGGATACAGACCCCAAGCGACTTAAAGACACCAACAGAGAGTGTGAGTCCGGCAATTCTACAGTTGCGCAGACAAGTGGAAGCTCTTGTGTATGGATTCAAGATCGTGTCACCAGAGCTTGATCTACGCAATGTGGTCTCAACACAATTCTCAGTATTTGTATGTAGTAGCGTAAATGGATTTATTTTTCTCACAAATTGAGACCTAAATCACTTTGCTCGTAGCCAGGAGATGGTGCTCGATTTGTCAAGCACGTGGATACGTATAGGAACACACAAAATGATGAGCGCAAAGCGATGTCTAAAGACAGTCTTGTACGTCTCGTAACGTGTGTATATTATTTAAACGATCACTGGCTGCCTGAAGACGGAGGTTATCTTCGCTTTCATCTGAAGACCTCACCTTTATTATCAGCTTGTCATTGGGACGTTCCACCAAAACTTGATACTCTAGTATTATTTCGTAGTCTTGATGTCGAGCATGAGGTCTTGCCAACGTATCGCGAGCGCAAAGCTGTGACAATTTGGTACTATGGAAAGCCACTTAAAGCATCTTCTGGCCCAACAAGTAGTGAGTGCCTATCCATACCACGTCCACTACCCAGTATGAACGGTAAGAAGTTTACTTATGAAAAGCAACCGTCGATCTTCGTCGCGATTCCAAGTTATCGCGACTCAGAGTGTAAACATACTATCGAAAATTTATTTGCTCGAGCAACGTTTCCAGAACGAATTTATGCTGGTATCTGTTTGCAAACTGACGATACTGATGAGACTTTTGCCTATCTACAAAGCAAGTATTCAAATAACAAACTTCGTATTCATTGGATGGACTATCGTAGTGCTGCGGGTCCGTGCGTCGCTCGTTCGTATGCACAAAAATTGTGGCAAGGTGAAGAGTTTTATCTTCAAATTGATAGCCACATGCGATTTCGTCCTGGTTGGGATTGTTTTCTAATCAACGAATTGGAAAAATGCTCTCTATCAAAACCAATCTTGACGACGTACCCACTTGGTTACACGTTACCAAACGAGGTGAATAATTTGGACGTTCATTTGATTTGCTTGGCTCACATTGAGTACTTTGTAGGTGTCAACTGAGTGTCGCCCTACTCTGCTTTGTGCCTCATCTTTTGATAGCCATGGCATGTTACGCCAATCCAGTAAAACGCTGACAAGAGTATTGACCAAGTAAGCTTTGTGGATAACTTAAGGCCTGTCATACTCATCATACATATGATTAGACCGTTGTCTTCTCTGTTTTGGGCTGCAGGTTTTGCTTTTTCTTCTGCTCAAGTAATCGCGGAAGTGCCATATGATGAAAGCTTGCGATTTTTATTTTTTGGAGAAGAATCGTCAATGGCTGCTAGGCTGTGGACATCAGGTTGGAACTTTTTCGCTCCTTCGGAAAGTGTAGTATACCATCTTTGGAATCGTGCATATCGTCCAGTGTTTCAAGAATTGGAATGCGATGAGACTAAGCGATCCCGTGCATTGTCGCTTCAGCATGTCAAGCAATTGCTTCAAATCGATGTAACATCCGAAAGTCATGAAAAATCACCTTGTGTGGGTACGTACGGATTAGGAAGTGAGCGAAGCTTTAAAAGCTATCAGAAACATATTGGAATCGACTTTTTCGCTCGAAAAATCGAATGGCGAGCAGAGTGGGGTAATCTTGATCCAATTCAGTTTGACCTGAAATCTGACACTGGTAAAGCACTGGTTCCAAAGTAACTCAATCGTATAATAAGAGGAAAATTGGGTTTCTACTCCAGCGTTTGATTCTTTTAACGCTTAAACTGGACGTTTTCTTAGCTTTCTTGCTTTCGACAATCGGGCGTTTACACAACTTGAAGAGAAGTGACGACGTGATTTGTGCTGATGCTTTAGATAACTACAACTCGAATGTTTGCTGCCTTTGACTATGGAGATGACATATGTGTACTTTCGTATCTCTGACGCGTCCGCTCCTTAAAGTTGCTAAGTGGCGCAAGTTGCGCACCTATCAGTTAAAGTATCGTACGCTACCATTATTGCGGACCATAATGGCATAGCAACATTGATTTCATCTCGTTTTCAGTAATGTATATACAATCCTTTTCCTTAAGAACTTCCTTGCGGTCGTTAGTAGACATGCCGTAAGATCTTACATTTGTAATAGCGATGGTAGATTTAGAAAATTGAATTTCATTCGGCAACTGATGCTCTCATGCCGCATGCCGATATGCTTACAATTGCGGGCCCAGTCGCTCTGCGACTTTAATTATGCGAGCTATAAACACATACTATCATACTTATAGAAATCGTTATGGACAAGACAAGAGTCGCAGACGCCCTTCGAGTTTCGTTGTACATTCTTTGACCTAATGTCATCTAATTAATGGATGTCGATATGAAAGTAGACTCGAACTGACACAAGCCTTGCTTGAGCACTCCCTGAGCTCTTTTGTCGGCCTTACAGCTGAACTCAATCTCAGTGAGCTTTCACACAAAGTGCTTTGCGCAGGAAACATCATTTGTGGATGTTAGAGGACGGCTATCCAAGGGTACACTACGTCACTCGGATCCGAAAGAGCTCGCAGATTGTTAACCCCAACTATCCGATAGCTGCATCTTTCTGATCGGGTCTTTCTTGTCTTTCAGGTGAAAGTCGCTCAGTGGCGGAAGTCGCGCACGCATTAATTTAAATTGATCTTTGTAGGGCTAGCATTCTAAATTCCGGTTAAGGAAGAACTCTAATGATGTATCTGCTGCGGTAACGGGTAGCATACTGTGTCAACAGTCCAATTTGTTAAAATATCTGATGAAATATACAGATACAAGACGAAGATCTAAATTGAGCTCTTTCGTTGATACAGATTACGCGCCGTCACATATACATCTTTTTCACAAAGAGTGCTGAAAACGCTGCACGGGCCACCCTCTTGATGAGTAGTGCTGACCTGCGCCTTGTCCACATGTGCCGCACAAGAAATCTGTCATGATAAAATATTTAATATATACGTTTGACCATATTTTATTATATAAATGCCAAGCTAGTGTACAATGGACCTCTCCTTTACGGAGTCCCATCACATTCAGACTTTGAGTACTTCTGAATATTTACAATCACACCTAAGTGCAATCAAATTTGTACAAAAATATATTTGTATTGATTAGCAGAAAGTGATGTAGCCACACGGCAGACACGAACCACAAACGAACTGATTTGTCCATTTGCAATGGTGAGCGATAAAATTCCTCCATTCTCGCTCGGTATGTGCAATTTGTACGCATCACTTGGTGTACATCTAACGTTACTACTTACTGGTACATTGTCACCAATTCTTGTCAATTATATATAATAGATAAACCGCGACATGATACTACCACGTACGTCGGTCGATGGCGCAAATTCGCAGAACTCGTATCGCCAAAGTACGTTACAGGTGTTATAAATTTAAAGATTTGACTTCACATTCTTCTAACGCTTGACAGGTGGCTTTTTCTGAGCTCAGAACAGATTCGACACGCAACTCAGACATTGGACGATTTTCGTAGCGGAAAGCTCGATCGCGGTCAACACAGTGATGCAGAATTGTGGAAATTTCGACAGGGTATTACTTGCTAATAGCACAATCAACTTGTCTAAATGCTAAGCATATAATCTATT